TTTTGGTTAACCTAGATCTGATTTGTTTTCGCTCTCCATCGTGTTCAGAGCCTGATGGGATGAGTTTACGGGAACCCATCAGTGCAATAGACCTTGGGGAAATCCATTGGTTCTTTGTAACCCTGTGGTTCAAATCAGTGATAGATGTCACTGCTGTTTGTATAGCTTTCCTAGCAACATCTGGGTCAACCTCATTTTCAGAACTACCTAATTGTGACCTCAGTTGTTCCTGGAACCTACTTTTGGTTTTCTCGCTACTCAATTTAGTTCTAATGGGTCTTTGTACTGTGGCTTTTTTGCGTCCAGTGAGGCGCAGGCAGATGCGTGCCCGTATTAGGGTATGGTCGGAGTCCAAGCAGGTACTCCAGAATGAGCGACAGTCTTCTACCGACCCTCTCCAACGATGACTGATGGCAATATGGTCTATTTGAGTCCATCTGGGCATTAAAGTCACCTGCTACGAGTACTATGTCTGAACGTTTAGCCTTCTGAAGAAGTTCAGATAGCTTTCTGTAAAATTCATCTTTCACTTCATCTGAGCTGCAGTCGGTGAGAGCGTAGGCAGAAACGACAAAAAGACAACGACGTGTGTCCCTATCCTTCCGAGTTCTTACGGAGCCGTTTAGCCGAACAGCACATAAACGACTGTTAACGGGGATCCACTCTAACAGTGCTTGTTCCGCCCTCATGCTTAGTGCTATCCCTACTCCTGCCAGTCCACGAGAGCTGGCCATCGCGTCACTAGATACACGGAGGGTGTATCTCGTTGGCTCTCCGTGTTGCCGAGGTGAGGTCAAGTGAATGACCACACTGGGATCCTGTATGCGTGTTTCAGAGACACAGCATACATCAATGGCACGAGACTCTAGGGTTCTAGCCAAGAAAGCCTGTTGACCGATTTGACATAGGGTGCGTACATTGAAGGCTCCAATGTGTAGTTTGGAGCGAGGTTTCAGTAGACCTGGGACAGTGTTTTGAGCACTAGAATCGTTGGCTATGGTGACATTTGAGGAGGAAGCCGAAAAAGGAAGTTTAGAGGTGAAAGTCGATGTAGGAGGAGTAATAGGAAGTGAAGACAGGTTGATTATGAATACAGTGGTCTTGAGTGCTGTCAGAGGTATGAGGGCGGTTATCACTTCCCGGTTACCCACACCATGGAGGGGTTCTTCTGGAGGTACCCGGAAAGGAAATTGGATTAGAGGTGGTCTTAGTGACTTGGGAGCATGACCGCAGTGCCCAAGGGACAACTGCTTGAGGTCGGCCACACACGACCTTTTTATGGGTGATTTTTGTGTTAGCTCCATACTTGTTCAGACCTTACCGCCGGAGATGGATATCCGTGAGATAAGGCGAGGTGTGACATTTCTAAGGTCGACCTTTTATAACCACAGCCCTCCTTGTGGGAAGGCAGCATTGCTGTTATGCTGGTTGTCTAAAGGAAACACCTTACTGCTCTCACACCTCTGTACAGTCATCAGTACTACTTCGCCTTCGGATCTTGGGTTTGTTGCTTTTAGTCTTACCGCTCTTCAACCGACCTGTCTGACATGGTAGGACCCTGAGGGACAGTTGTTCCAGCCATTATAACTCCATCTTCTCATCACGATAGGCAAGTCCGACCACCACGTCAAGGTAGCAACAAAGGTCGGGAAATAGGAACAATAACAGGGCGGATTTGCATGCATATAGCATACAATTCTCTTTGAATCTAGCACAACAATGGCATCATGCACTGTCCCATCGGCCTTGGCCGATCAGGCAACCCGAAAGTTACGAGAACACCATCAGGGCATACGACAGGCTAGGTACCCCGGTCAAGAAAATAATAACCACTGGAGCTTAGGGTAATAACCACCAAGCCAGGGTACATGCAGTCCAGCACGAAGCCAGGTGCATGCCATATTCAACCACTGAAGCCTAGGGTAATAACCACCAGGCCAGGGTACATACAGTCCAGCATGAAGCCAGGTGCGTGCATCGTTAAAGAGGTTACAGCAGGATCGCCACTGGCTTCTATTCTGAGCCATATCTGATAACGTTTCTAATCACTGTGTAGCACCATCTCTCGGACCCCAGCCAGGGAGTCGTGAAGGACCAACAGAAGCCAGTCCTTTGCAGCTTTCTTTCATCCCACGACACCGTGTCATATACTGACCACCTCCGCTTTTTCGAACCAGTCCCAGAGTCGGCAAATAATGCACGACGTGGAATTCTCTGGGACGACATTCGTAGAACATGTCCAAGCCACCGAAGGCGGTGTTTCAAGATGGTGACATCGATTGCATTATCGTCTCCGTGCCCGAACACACGATGCCGAACCTCTGCATTACTAACATGGTGTCGCCACTGGATGTCAGCAATCCTTCGGAGACAACGATGACCGAACACGGAGAGTCATCTAACGTTCTCAACTCGGAGAGGCCAGGTTTCACAAGCATGGAGCAAAACTGTTCTCACCGACGCGTTGTAGATCCGACCTTTTACAGCCAGATTAACGTCACGAAGGCGCCAAATATGGCCTGGATTGGCATAAGCCGCTCTGTCTTTCACTATACGTGCATTGATCTCATCACTCACACCACCACCAGCACTTATGCAGCTACCTGGATACACGAACTTCTCGGCCAGTTGAACTGCCCTTCGAAAAATTCTGCCCATCGTCCAAGACACCGATGGATGTTAATGATTGGCATCCTGTCATCCTCACAGATTGTTTCGCTCACATCAGACTTTTTGCTGCCAGTGGCTCGGATGAGTTGGAAGGGCTTCCGGTAGTTACCAGATGCAGCTGCTGCTTCCAGCTCATTAGCACGCTCCGACCACCAGGCTTCTCGGTCCTTACGCAAACTTTGCCTGGTTTCATTACGTAACAGCCTTCGTTTGTGGTCAAACTCACGGTCATCCGGAGTAGACCGACAGGCTTCAATGAGTTGTAAGGAACCAGAAGAAACCCAGTGCTTATAAGCGGGACATTTCGCGAAACCAATGTTCATCTTTACTTTTTGGTGGAATGGTAGCTAGCCTAAAAGCTATCTCGGTTCGATAGTTCATTGCAACAGAAGTTGCAACCAACTTGCTAATATCAATCCGTTGATGGCGGTCACTTCGTTGTCCACTGAAAAGTAAGGTAAGATGGGCGCAGACCAAGGCATGATCAGAGCCCAGATAGGTACTCCAAAAGTAGCGGCAGTCTTGTACACAACCACTCCAGCGGTAGCTGATCGCAATGTGATCAATCTGAGTCCAGGCTTGATATGCAGATGGAGGACGCCAGGTGGCACATCGGCGATGACTGTGCCGAAAGTTAGTGCTAGCTAGAAACAGGTTGTGGTCTGTGCACAGTTGCAGTAGACGGTCCCCGTTATCTGTCCTGCGATCAACAAGCCCCCATCGGCCACCTAAACGACTCTCTTCTGTGCCTAGACGTCCGACCCGAGCATTCAAGTCTCCGGCTAGTCCTACAGTATCCGTCGAACTCACTTTCTGGAGAAGAACAGTTAACTGGTGGTAGAATTCATCCTTGATTGCATCTGGGCTGCAATCTGTCGTTGCATACTCGGAGATGACGAAAAGACATCGTTTCTCAAGTCGATTTCTTCTCACTTTGATGGACCTCTCTAATCTAACAGCACATAACCGACTGTTAATGGGGATCCAGTCGATTAGTGCTGCCTCAGCTCTAGTGCTAAGTGCGACACCAACGCCAGCAAGACCAGACGAAGATGTCACAGGGTCCTCGGATAAACGCACGTAAGACAAGCTTTTTGAAGCAACAGATGGAGAGCGAATTTGTAGTACTTCACCAGAGTCTTGAATACGGGTCTCGGCTAGACAACAAACGTCAATATTAAGACTTTCCAAAGACATAGCTAGCCCTATTTGTTGTCCGACCTACATAAGTATGCGAACGTTGAAGATATCCAGTTTGAATGGTGCACGTGGTCTCAGAAAAACTGTTTCAGTACTCATATTCGGTGGTAAAATACGATTTTCAACTGGACAGTGACTCGAGAACGTTTAGATAGAGTCGAATTTCCACCCAAGACGAGCTGCTGTATAGGTCGAAATAATAAGTATAGACAGAGTAGGAATAAAAAAGGGTGAATAATGTTGTAGTAAATAATAATAATAATAATAATAATAATAATAATAATAATAATAATAATTTGGATCATTTGATTGTTATTGGAAGCGAGAAAAGTAGTTTCCATAGATAGGGTTCATCATTTGTGTGTGGGCTGTGATACTGCCTGGGTGCGCAGACCGAAGGAGGTGGTTGTCTTAGGGGGCCACACCCCGAGCCTTTGATCTAAAGGTCTAACCCACAAGGCAGTGGAGCATCGTAAGGAGATGCAGTCCCATGGTAGATGGTGACCGAAAATTGGTTCATACGTCATTTGTTCTCTCAGGATACAAACGATGAACTCTATGTCTATGGCAACTTTTCTCGCTCCGAAAAACAATCAGTTGTGGCGCATATATATTGGCGCTCTCTTGTACCAATATTCATGAGTCCAAATAATAATAATAATAATAATAATCAGGATACTGGAGCCCATGTGCACCATTGGTTTGGAATCCGGTTAAAGCGCCGGACATTCACTTTTCGTCCTTTCATTTTCGTAAACAACACCCCCATCACGAGAATGCACTGAGTAGGACTTCTCTGGCCGATGCTGTATACGCGTGGCCGTGTGAGAGTATTTGGAGAGGGAGGGCGGGCCCACCCCACTCTCGGTCATACCAGGGCATTTGGGGGCTACTACTTTTGTTGATCCAGAAGTAGAAGTTCTGTTAAGGGTTCAAAATAATGTTTTTGTTCGGTAAGTAAGGGTACAGATGTAGTAAATTGGAAAAGCTTGACATCCCTAAGAATACATTACCATAGCAAGAACAACTACTCTTTTTAATGACTTCTGTTTTGTTTATTCTGGTCTCATCACTGCCTTTTTTTCTCTTTAGAGGATGCTGACATTTTTCGAATTCGGGATATTTGTGCCATGCGTCCTGTCCCTGAAAATCTACGCCCTGACGTTTGGCGCATATGTCTGAGGTTGGACACTCAGTCGCAAGCAATGGCTACATTTAACGATGTTTTGGAATTAGAAAATCAGTCACAACTTCATGAAGATTGTGAGTTGGCTTCTAAGGAGTTATTTAATCGTCTGACCAAACAGCATAGTCTTCAACAGTCGAAAAATATCTCTAATCTGTCAGTGAACAGTGATAATTATGATTCAGATTTAGAAGCGTCATCCCTCAGTATGTTCCTCCCACCAGCTGCAAAGATATCTAGTGATTTGGAATCTGTTTTAACACATTTCGCTCAGACTTATCGTTTGAAATATAGTTCAATCAACGGTTGGGTATCAATACTTAAAGTACTTTTCATTGTCCTGAAACCGACCAATCGGTCGGAACTGTATGCGAGTTTCGTTTCATTCTACCATCGTTTCGTTGCTACGGGAGTAAATATTGACCAATGTGTAAGCATAGTTTTCCGTTTGTTGTTGCAATATCACGAACCAAAGTTGTGCAGCTTTTTGGATTCATTAAAAGTTAGTCCTGAAAGTTATTTCATACCTTGGATGTCAAGTCTTTACGCTGATTTTATATCAGAAGATGTTATACCATCCCTATGGGATTTATATTTCTTGAAGTCGGATCCTTTGCTTGGCTTCTATATTGGATTACTACTTATTGTTAATACCAAGTCCGTTCTTCTTAACCAACAGTTCGATAAAACTGAGGATAATGAAAATGATTCAAATACAAATAATTTACTTTCGTATACTAATGATCAGACTTCTTTCGGTAAGTGTGAATTTTGAATATTATCTATTTTTCCTTCAAATATAAATGAATTGTTTATTTATAATTATCATAAGATCGTCCAACCTCATGTCAAATTAAAGTTTGGTTTAATTTTTCAGGCTCCGGACTTTCTCTTAGTGAGTTGTCAATTTAAAGATCACGTATCTATTGCGGTTTTTCTATTTGATTCATTTCTCAAATAACAAATAAAACTCAGTCTCTTAGATCTGTGTTAAGTATGGATGCTAAGTTGGATTTATTATCTACTAAATAGCTGTTATTGTGACTTTTTCGATGGTAATATAACCAAATAAAGTCAGTCAGTCAGTCAGTAACAACGTAGAACTTCGTACGTAGGTACATCAGTTCAAGTTGCCATACTACATTAGTACAGAGATTCAGTTGTCAATTCAAATCTCATAGTGGTAGAGGTTGTAAAAGTATAGGTAGTAATCGGAAAAATTAGGGTTTGAAGATGTTATTCAAGGAGTATAATCCATTGAAATAAATTTGGAAAGAAAAAGAAAAGGGACATGAAGAATTCAGAAGATTAGAATTTGGGAGAACACAAAGAGTGTATGCACCTGCGCCATTGCAAACGATTTTGAGCCATGTCATTCAGGGTCTATAACCATCGGTTGCTATCATCTCGCGGTCCCCAACCAGGTAGTCTACACCTACCGACATGACTCAGACCACTTGTCAGTGACTTCATGGACTTGTGCCATGTTTTGGTCTGGCCGCCCCTAGCTTTCTTCCAACCTACTCCTATACCACTGAACATCGCACATCGAGGCAGTCGGTCGTTGGGCATACGTAACACGTGTCCAAGCCATCTCAACTGATGAAGTTTCACTACGTCATCAATTGATTTGCCATCCTTACCTAGTACCCGTTTCCTAACAACTGCATTACTTACTCGGTCAGTCCGTTGTCTCGTTTCAGAGTTATATCATTCAGGTAGTCTACTAGGCATGTATCGCATGAACTGGACCTAAGAAATCCATGGTGGGAGGTCGATATGGGATTATTAGTAAGTAGATGTTGAACCAACGCCGCCTTAATCACTTTTTCATCACTCCAGAAAGCACTGAAGTTATGTTTATGAGCCGGTAATTGTCAACATTTGCTTCATGTCCTGTTTTAATTTTGGGAATGATATGTGTAGTTTTCCAGGCATTCGGCTAACACGCTGTAGAGAGTGATATCACAAATAGTTTGAGAAGCAGAACACACATATCATCACCTACATGTTTTAACATGCTAGCTGCAATACCATCTGGTCCATCAGTGTAGGAGTGTTTTAATGTACTAGTTGCCTTGGAGATATTTTGTGCATTGAAGTCTACATTAGTAATCTCACAGGGAGGTACTGGGATTGGTTCTGAATCACTCAGTGGTTTTTCGTTAGTTAGTGAGAAACAAAAGTGTTCACTAAGTAGTTCCGTAACAAATTTAGGATCTTCGTATACTAGTTTGTCTCTAATAAATATAGTCCATGCTTCAGATATCATTGTAAGTGATGATTGATATATGGATACAAACAGGGATAAATCCGTCTTTTTATTGCAGATCGGCCTAGCGTTGATAAGACATAAATTAAAGAAATGACCTACTAATTTAAAATGGGTTAAAGTATCTCGAATAAAGTTGTCATGACCCTCGTGGATGTGAGATGAGTTTAAAGTGAGGGATTGGATGTCTTTCAACACCTCAGTGTTTTGATAGCTAAAGTTAGTGGGAGATGTATCAAATGAGCTAGTGAAATTGATTGGGGAGTTTATCTAGGGGAAAGGGTGGGAGTACTTTCTGATGGAAATTGTACGGGGGAAGCAAGTTTATGTTCTCCATGTAGTTCGAAATGATTTAAACAAGAGGGGGGGCATGTTGATCTGTCTGACCTTTTTCTAAGGCGGATGACTTTGCTGTTAATGTTCAGCATACTGTATGCTTTAAGTCAAGCATCCCTGAACGTAGATGGGTGTGTGCGATCGGGGAGGTTATACGCAACTGCATCGAAGGAGGACATCAATCTTTTCGTCACTTCTTCAGCCACAAACTCCAAAATACACTCAGCTTTGGTGAGTTGCTCAAGATTTCTATCAATGTCAAGGCCCCATATATTTGTGAGGGTTGCTGCATAGTTAAGTCTGCCGTTAATCTCAGTCAGAGAGTTTTGTAGCTGACGGATGTCAGTACTATATCCATCAGTATTTTAGTGTGTATGAGATGAACTATTAAACTCTTTAGTTTTTGAAATTTTAGATTTAGGCCCTGTTAGAACATACTGTCTGGTAGACTGTGCTGACTTTTCGATGCATGTCGGTATAGTGTCTTGTATGTCAACCAGTCTTACCGTTGGCATACTGCACGTAGAGATAGAGGGGGTGTGACATGGAGAATCTGTTGATGATAGTTATACCTGTGGACAATACGCATATTGTTCAGTAGATGAAGGTTCGATATTGTCAGGTATTATTATTATTATTATTATTATTATTAATAGCTTTATTCAATATTATATTTTGGTACAATATAGAATTCTCAGCACAGGGTATTTCAACAATTTACTTACTGAACAACGAACAAAAGGCAGTAGCGAATACATAAAGAAATATATAAAATAAAAATAAAAATAAAAAAAAACCCAAAGGAAACTACAAACTTTTAAAATTAAAGACATGTTAAGAATGTAAGTTATTGACTAGGTTAATTCTAACAACCTGTTCGTCACAGAGTATATTTGCTAGGTAAGGTATTATAGAACTTCTATACTTTTCCTTGCGTGCAAGGATTTTAATGTAATTACGTCTCGTTCTACCAGAAGATATACAAGGAGAAAGATAAGAGTGAAGGGGATGGCTAGTATCTGATAAAATAATACCTGCCAGGAGTTTGCATGATTTTAAATGTCTATCCACAACCATATTAATTATGACCTCGAAAGATTCACCACACGTCTTACTAACTGCCTTTAGTACTCTTCGCAATACAGCAAAGTCTTTTCTCAAAAGCCCGGGAAAAAATAATGGAGAACAGTAAAGAATAATAGGTAATATGCAAGAATTGACAAATTGTAAGAGAAAATGACGAGTAATTCCAAGAGCATGCAATCTCTTTATGTAGTAGGTCAGACGGAAAACCTTCTTTGATAACGATAAAACGTGGGAAGACCAAGACAGATCAGAGGAAAAGGTGGCACCAAAATAATTGACCTTCGACACCGCGTTTATCAAAGAGTCTCCGATGGTACAAGCACTATGGGATCTCAAAATAGTGTTTATATTCCGTTCATGTCTCATACTAAAGTTAACAGCTTGACATTTAGATGGATTAAGTATGAGACCATTACTAACAGACCAACAATCAATATGAGACAAAAACTCATTCATTTCTATGGGATGTAAAGAGGAAGATATAGGCATACATACAGTGAGGTCATCCGCATACTTCACAAAAGTGTTTTCTGTGGAAGATGGCAGGTCATGCAGAAAAAAAGAGAATGGAAGAGGTGAAAGAACAGCTCCTTGTGGTACACCTTCCTGAGACAGTAGAGAATCTGAACACTTTCCTCAAACACAGTGTATTGTTCCCTTCCAGAGAGGTAGGAACACAGCCAGTTGGTTATCCAGCTGTCAGTGTTGACGCTGATTAACTTGTTAAGTAAACGTTGTCTTGGTATAGAGTCAAAAGCTGAAGTGTAGTCTAGAAAAGCACATCGAACATACTTTTCATCCTTTTCTAAGTTGAACACTATGTTGTGATGCAGAACAGCAACAGCATCTAAAGTGCTTCTTTTGCGCCTGTATGCAAACTGGTATGGGTCAGTATGCCCTTTTATCGCAGGCTGAAGTGGAAGTATTAACAATTTTTCCAGTGTTTTGAGGAAGGGTGAAGTTATTGCAATAGGTCTAAATTTTACATTCTTATCACCAAATGCTTTCTTGGGTACAGGAATTATCTTCATCTTTCTCCACATTTTTGGTATGAGATTAGATGAGAAAGATCTGTTAAATATAGTTGTGAACGGATGACACAGAACGTCAGCACATTTTTTAAAAAGGATGTTTGGGATACCATCAGGACCCAAACATCGAGATGAATTCAGCGACTGGAGACATCCTCGTACATCAGTTTCAGTGAAAGTATGAACACAGCTATTTTTTAAACCCGTGGATAGAGGGAGCATCACATCAGATGACTGACGTACAAAAGACTTATTTAAGTCACAAACATTCAGCTGGTTATCGCTTTTAAACTTTCTGTCACCTGTAAGTTCTTTAAAGAATTTCCACATACTTGTAGAGTTTTTGCAAGATAAGAGTTTTTGAGTAAACATGCAGTTGAGACGTCTAATCTCTAGGTTTATCAGACCATTTAGCTTACGAACTTCATTTGAGTTCTTCTCCTTGTACATTCTTTCTTTCAACCTCCGTAGTCGTTTTAGTTGTGAAGATGTAAGTCGATCATAGGGGTTACAGGTTTGAACCTTTTATTTGGCGTAGAATTTGATGAAATTTCTCTTTTACTGGAGTTATTGCTCATGATGTGAAAATGGGTGAATAGAGAGCTCGTTTAACTCAATATAATATCTGAGTTACAGCTGTTATTAAGTATTAACCTAGTTAATACAAGGATCAGAGACTATGAGTATATGATAAATTTCAAATCTATTTAAGACTTAAGTCCGCGATAGGAATAATATGAACTAGTAAGTGTCCGTCGAAAAATATTTTAGGGTAAAATGTACCATATATACAAAATAGGATGATAGTCTCCGCATAATATACCCTACAATTGAACAAGTCGAAGAATTCCCAAACCATGTGGAAAAGTTATCCCTTTCAAATTTCAGTCTTCGGTAATAAGGATAGGAGTTCTGTCGACCTATATTAACCCTTGCAGTTTGTAACACTGTGGAGGATCAATCTCGTTTTTAATATATCGACAGAAAATGCTGATATTACGTGTTCCAGTAGAGAATTCCAGTAATTCACTACTCGATGCGAGAAACGAAACTTCAGACGTAAACGACTTGATCTCGGTTTTTTGAACTTCCTTCGTATATCCTCTTAAATGATCCGTCCTAAACGGAAGTAAAAGATAGGGCATGTTAATACCAAGGTCATCGTTCAGTATACGATAAGCCAATATTAGATCACCCCGTATTCTACGGTCAGATAACGAAATAAATTAAGGTGTCTCAATCGGTCTTCATGAGATAGACGAGCTAGACCTTTCGCCATCTTAGTCCCTTGTCGTTGTACTCTTTCCAGCATATCTGCCTCATACTTAAAACAAGGACCCACTGCTTGAATCCCATATCCCAAATGTGGTAGCACGAAAATCGGGTATAATAAACTAAACAATTCGTCATCTACATACTGGAAAGACCTGTAGTGGCATTGGACGCTAGCCACGCAATCCTTAGAGCTGAGCACGGGACAGCTGGGAAAATGGATGGTCAATATTTAACGCGGAGAAAAACCCAACGGTGGAGAAGGCGGGAAGAATGAATGGGGTTAATTCGAATTGATCGAACGACATGGCTCGGCGTGGTCACCCTTAAGTGTTGTAACATAATCTTTTAGTCACATTAAATATGTTGTTTATCTCCAGTCTTAATGTGTTCCTCATCACGTATTGATGATTGTTACGACGTGGTGACTTGGTGTTGACAATGATGTGACTTCCACGTAAGATCTTATGGATTAGGCAGTTATATCGTGACAAATCTACGATATTAGGATTAGGTCTATTATTAGAGCAGTGCTAATATCATAATAAACCATGATTCTACAGACCTACGAATAGACCATAACACCCTATAGCCTTTCGCAGCAGCAGCAGCCTTACAGTGACTGGTGGTTTTGTGATCACTGCTTAATATGACTCCTAAATCTTTACAGTTTCTTACCTTGGGTAGCATGAATCCACATATTATGTAATGGTACGAATCATCAGTTATTTAGTTGCATCTCCACCTTCTTGTTAGGATTTACTTCTAGTGACCACCTGTCCATCCATGCCACCAATGAGCTAAGATCACCCTGTAATACTATCCATCCCACATACTGTGTATGAATCTCCAAATTTTCATGTTATCGCTTCCAAGACCTGACTGCTCGAAAACCCACTAACCGGAGATTTTCCTCGCCGTTTTGTCCACGGGTTTCTAGTTCAGCTAGTGTCTTCTTCTTTATATTGCATAATATATATTTATATTATACGATATTATGGTGAACCCAAATAAGTGTTCATTTTGTGAATATGGTTTTGAATGTCTTGCATACCTAGTTGATAGTAACGGTTTTAGACCAGATATCAAGCAACCAGCTCCATTGACAAATGCACCATCTCTGAAAAATCTTGCGGAACTATGTTCACTAATGGGCGCTCTTCATTACTATTCCCGTTTCATTGCTAATTTTTATTGTCATGCCGACTGCTTATTTATTATTTTGACATCCAACTTACTTAAATAAGGTGAGAAACAAGAGACATGCCTACGAAGTTTACCAGAGTTTCTTCAGAGTGGTGGCGTCCAATAAAGGGCGGCCTGCTTGAGCATCTGGGCTACTCGTTCCTGCCATCTAGATATTTCAACAAGTTATCTAGTTTTGTTTGTTTTAATATATCATTATGTTTATTAATCGCATAACCTGTTCTGCTGCGTTTCTGAAAAGTGCACAACCTTTCGTTGTCAAGGTTACAAAAAGCTCAATAAGAGACAATGTGGTTGCTGGCAATATACAACGAAAAGAATGCACATTATTCAGATGTTCATTTACTGAACTGCTAACATCTAACTGGCTATCACTCAATATTTATCGCCAGGATCAACCAAGAAGAAACGGAAACTTGTTGAAATACTTTACGCTGAGAATTTTATATTGTACCAAAAATATAATATTGAAATATATATATATATATATATATATATATATATATATCTCTGATGATATTTTGTGTTTAAATGATCGTGTTGTTATTCCTCCTTCTTTGCGTAGATCTGTCCTTGAATGTGTTCATAGTGGACATTTAGGTGTTGAGAAATTGAAGTAATTGGCAAGGCTAACATGTTGATGACCCGAGATGATTACATGAATCTGTCTAGCAACAAACAAATGTGGAAGATTTCCTAACTCTAGAAATCATACTTCGAAGTGGACTCTATGGCAAAGAATTCACAGAGACTATTGTAGTCCATTTTGTGACAAATACTATGCACTTGCTGTCGTTGTTTGTTTCTCAGTCGACTTACAATTTTTCCCAATTTCAATGAATTGTGACTTTACCTTCCCAGTATTAAGGAAAGCTTTTAGTCGGGAGGAGTCCCTATGGTGTTAGTTACTAATGGCTACAGATACAGTCACTACCTGGTTGAATGGGATAGGATGCAGACATCTGTTCACAAGTTCTTGACAGTCTCCTACTAGTGGTCAGGCAGAGAATTTCATTTGAACGTTGAAAACTTTTATTGATTCCACTACTGCTTCAACATTGGATGAGCTGCAGATGGGAGTAGGCTTATGTCTACTGCAATATAGAAGCGCTAAACATTCTATAACGAAAGAGACCTCATCAAAGTTATGAAAAGGAAGGATTATTCGTTCGAATATTAGGAGTTTAGAATCTGTAGATGTTACATACAGCCACGGGGATTGTTGTGAAGAATGTCAGGAAATCTATGGTGGAAATTCAGGATGTCGGTTATTTAAACACACACAACTGATGTACTGATCATATGCAATTCCATGAACCGGGTGAGTCTGTTTTTCAACCGTCAACAAGGCATAAAGCAAGGGGTCAGACCATCTCGTACGTGTTACCGAATTACCTCATTCCCAATAAAATGAAAAGATTAGATAAAATGAGGCGCTGGCATCGGGAAAACAATCCATTCAATCATATGCAGGAGCAGTTAAATGCTGAACTATTTGGTATGTCATTAAATGGATATCATATGAAGTGTACTGTGATACGATCGCGATGCTTGACCGTATTTCCTTAATTGGTCATTATCACTTACAAATCCCTATAAAACCACCTGCTTTTCTGATATGTTGACCGTTATAGATAGGGACTACAATAATCTAAGCGCTCTCCATTCCGCCATGATTGGATTTAACGATCTTACGAAGGGTGTGTTAGATTTATTTACTTGGCTATACTTGATGGCTATATATAATCAAGTATATTCAAAGGTACAGGTGACTTTTGATGCGCTTTGCTGGGAAGTCCCATGCTAAAACGAAACGGCCATCCATTGCTTCCAGGTTTTCAATGGTAGTCTAGCTTGGATCGAATCGTGAGTCCAACTGTTGAAATATTACGTCCTCCACAAATTCCCATCCAAAAACCACTACATGTGATGTGTAAATATCAATAAACAGGACACTGACGAATGGCCTTATGATTACTGATAACATCATCTGAAACGTAGTTTTTTAATGCTGTAAGTTACGCCCTTATTTCTATTTGGAAGGAGCCAAAGTAGTGGTTGTAGTGGGTATTTATTCATATCGAGGGACAGAACAGTTGGTGAGCTTTCACCGTTCAGTGCGAGATTCTAAGAAATATAATGCCCAATAAAAATAAGGAAGTAAATAAACACTTGAGCTGTATTGTTTTGATGTTACCGGGATGCCTTGGATCAACTATTACCCATCCAACTTAAGTTGTTACTTGAACTTCCTCCAGTAACCGACTTCCATAGGAATGTTGGTTCGACTGATTTGTTAAACTGACATATTAATTTGGATTCCTCGCCATAATGGCACATTACTAACTCTCAGTGTTTGACTTCCATTATTTTACAACCAATGACGTCCACTGCTTAATCAGTCGTCACAGATAGTTTATAGATTTCACATATGTCTTTTACTAGCTCGTTATTTTGTATCGAAATTACCTACATTCTTTCTACGGATTATCGCACATAACCTGTACGTGCCCTCTACATGAAAATCAGAGAGAGTAAGGGAATGTAAGGTGAGAAAATGAAACATGAATGTCCTAGGAAGTGCAGCGAGCAGGCTGCCTAACACCATATTGATTAAATATGATTCTCCCATGATTTGTCCGTCTGTCAAGTGCTTAATTACCTGAGCTGAATACTGGTCCACTCGTGGTAACTAGAGTACGAAGTGGATAGCCCTGTGAACTACGAATTAGCATATTAATTCTACCGCTTTTACCTATCGTTCACACTAGAAACATTTGATGCTAACGCCGTTTGATTATATTGTAATTAGAAGGAATTTAATATTACGAACAAGGCGTAATAGATTGTGCTAGTTTACCCGGATGTTTTGATGGGCCGTTTTCACTTAAATTTAATATATCTACGTTTGCCTATTGAAGAAACATCAGTGCTACTCAGAGCGGATGCATACAGATCACTTGGTTGACAGATGGGTTTAGACGAGTTGGATGAGAACGGTGTAACCTGGCCTACGCTGAGACTACATCTCATAGTAAACACCAATTATGGGTCACCTTAAACTGGTATTAAGGTAATGGAACTGTATTGTTGACTTTATGGAAGAAATTCATAGGAAATTTAATAATGACAGTACTCAGATGAACGTAATTTAAAATTTAAGATTAGCTCTTGAAGTCAAGATAACAATTTTGAAAACTTTAACTGGAATTGTGTAAACTTTAAATAATATGACCAAATAGTACTAATGTTGGTAAGTTTAGAACTTGACAAGACAAAAACTTGCATTCACAGTAAGTAGTGTGAAGTTGCATTACATTATTATGATAGATTTAAAAGGAACATAAAATATTTATAAATACAGTGAATACATTGGTCAGCAAACACAATCTGAAACGCCAGTTCTATTTATTGGACACTGAATATACACCTTGCCTTGGTAGCGCTCTCTGGAATAATTTATTTACAATGTCAGATTCGTCCGATGTGACCGAAGTGGATGAATCCTGGAAGGTTAACCTTGAGATCGCACTGTTAGGTAATCCGAAATGTTTGTTTGTCAACGCTTTTTCGACAATTTTTGAGACTGGTAGTTAATGAGAGATTTCTTGGTAATAAAATACGTCAGCTTTGTATAATCATATATATAATTATGTTTTATTTTAGGCTAGTCTAGTCACTATGAATCCATTGTGGGCCCCAGTTACTTCACAAAGAATATGACGCTTTAGATTCTCGCATCAGTAAGCTCTCTGGGCTCAGCGCTAGCGCATCCTAGAGGATTATTTCGTTCCACCAGTTTTTTAAAACCGTAAATAACAGGAAGGAATTGTTCACTAAGGATAAAACTGTATGAGAAATGTAGAGCTTATGTCGTTAAGAACGTAGGCCTGATCCCAAACTAATGGTGCACCTGGGCTCCAGAATCCTGAGTTAACAAATGAACCAATTTTTGGTCACTGGCTACCATATGACTGCATTTCCTGACGTTGCTCCACTGCATCGTGGACCAGACCTTTAGGTAAAAGGATCCAGATGTGGCCCCCTAAGAAAATCACCTGTTTCGGTTTCGACACCCGAGCTGTACCATAGCCCACACACAAATCAAGTGAATTGTGTGATGCATATGTATTTGGTGCTCCTTTGTACCATTATTTATGTGTTCAAATAAATAATAATAAATAACCATCAATTTCATCATAGAGCTACTGCTGGAAATAAAGTTCTCGTCGTCTAGATTTTCGGGAATCGACCTACTTCCAGGAGTTTCGCTTATTGACTTAGAATACGCAGATGACATAGTCCTGTTTGGTGAAAACTTACAAAATGCAGTCTTTCAGTAGCACTGAGCAACAATGTCAGGATGTTTGGGGTGTGTTTCTCCCTCTTTAAATGCAAATTTTTGCTTTAGGACTGGCCTGCGCCAACACCTGAACTAAGGATAAGGAGTGAACTAGTCGAACGCGTCAACAACTTCACTTGTGTTGGTAGTGTGATCAGCCCTAATGGGTTCAGAAAGCTCGTTTGTCTTTTGTCAACTTACGTCACTTATGACGACTAGATATTCGTCTATCAACCAAGGGACGAGTATACTGCTCAGCAGTTCGTTCTGTTTTCCTTCGCGGCTGCAAAACGTGGTCTTTAAGGGTAGAGGATACTTTTTTTCCACATAAACCACTTCTCTCTCATTGTATCATATCCTTATGTTATTACCATTTAAGGTAACTACTATGAATTTGGTGTTGTGCTAATGAGGTATAGGAACTTGGACCAATGCGTGTATGTGCCTGATCCTACGTTGTAGCTGACTGATTCTATTTTAAAACATTTGGATTGAATGTTGTTGAAGGTACGGATGACATCCTCAACTGGTCATTTTAAATACATCTGCTAGAGTTGGGAGACTTACTTCAATGTTCCATTCAGGCTGTCTGGGAATGGAGGGTAGTTGTAGAGTAGCTGAACGCCAGCTGAACTGTTCTCTGAAATGTTCCGCCCATCGTTCTAAACGTCTGGACTGAGAGCAGATGAGGGTGTCGTCTTTTTCCGAAATAGTCTGACTTACACTTGATTTATTAATTCCAGTTTCTTTTATTAGTCTGTAGAGCTGTCTTGTGTTCCCTATAGCCGCCGCCTTTTCCATCTCTTTTGCTTTCGTTGTCCACCACTGCTCACGGTCGTTCCTTAGACTTTTGGTTAACCTAGATCTGATTTGTTTTCGCTCTCCATCGTGTTCAGAGCCTGATGGGATGAGTTTACGGGAACCCATCAGTGCAATAGACCTTGGGGAAATCCATTGGTTCTTTGTAACCCTGTGGTTCAAATCAGTGATAGATGTCACTGCTGTTTGTATAGCTTTCCTAGCAACATCTGGGTCAACCTCATTTTCAGAACTACCTAATTGTGACCTCAGTTGTTCCTGGAACCTACTTTTGGTTTTCTCGCTACTCAATTTAGTTCTAATGGGTCTTTGTACTGTGGCTTTTTTGCGTCCAGTGAGGCGCAGGCAGATGCGTGCCCGTATTAGGGTATGGTCGGAGTCCAAGCAGGTACTCCAGAATGAGCGACAGTCTTCTACCGACCCTCTCCAACGATGACTGATGGCAATATGGTCTATTTGAGTCCATCTGGGCATTAAAGTCACCTGCTACGAGTACTATGTCTGAACGTTTAGCCTTCTGAAGAAGTTCAGATAGCTTTCTGTAAAATTCATCTTTCACTTCATCTGAGCTGCAGTCGGTGAGAGCGTAGGCAGAAACGACAAAAAGACAACGACGTGTGTCCCTATCCTTCCGAGTTCTTACGGAGCCGTTTAGCCGAACAGCACATAAACGACTGTTAACGGGGATCCACTCTAACAGTGCTTGTTCCGCCCTCGTGCTTAGTGCTATCCCTACTCCTGCCAGTCCACGAGAGCTGGCCATCGCGTCACTAGATACACGGAGGGTGTATCTCGTTGGCTCTCCGTGTTGCCGAGGTGAGGTCAAGTGAATGACCACACTGGGATCCTGTATGCGTGTTTCAGAGACACAGCATACATCAATGGCACGAGACTCTAGGGTTCTAGCCAAGAAAGCCTGTTGACCGATTTGACATAGGGTGCGTACATTGAAGGCTCCAATGTGTAGTTTGGAGCGAGGTTTCAGTAGACCTGGGACAGTGTTTTGAGCACTAGAATCGTTGGCTATGGTGACATTTGAGGAGGAAGCCGAAAAAGGAAGTTTAGAGGTGAAAGTCGATGTAGGAGGAGTAATAGGAAGTGAAGACAGGTTGATTATGAATACAGTGGTCTTGAGTGCTGTCAGAGGTATGAGGGCGGTTATCACTTCCCGGTTACCCACACCATGGAGGGGTTCTTCTGGAGGTACCCGGAAAGGAAATTGGATTAGAGGTGGTCTTAGTGACTTGGGAGCATGACCGCAGTGCCCAAGGGACAACTGCTTGAGGTCGGCCACACACGACCTTTTTATGGGTAATTTTTGTGTTAGCTCCATACTTGTTCAGACCTTACCGCCGGAGATGGATATCCGTGAGATAAGGCGAGGTGTGACATTTCTAAGGTCGACCTTTTATAACCACAGCCCTCCTTGTGGGAAGGCAGCATTGCTGTTATGCTGGTTGTCTAAAGGAAACACCTTACTGCTCTCACACCTCTGTACAGTCATCAGTACTACTTCGCCTTCGGATCTTGGGTTTGTTGCTTTTAGTCTTACCGCTCTTCAACCGACCTGTCTGACATGGTAGGACCCTGAGGGACAGTTGTTCCAGCCATTATAACTCCATCTTCTCATCACGATAGGCAAGTCCGACCACCACGTCAAGGTAGCAACAAAGGTCGGGAAATAGGAACAATAACAGGGCGGATTTGCATGCATATAGCATACAATTCTCTTTGAATCTAGCACAACAATGGCATCATGCACTGTCCCATCGGCCTTGGCCGATCAGGCAACCCGAAAGTTACGAGAACACCATCAGGGCATACGACAGGCTAGGTACCCCGGTCAAGAAAATAATAACCACTGGAGCTTAGGGTAATAACCACCAAGCCAGGGTACATGCAGTCCAGCACGAAGCCAGGTGCATGCCATATTCAACCACTGAAGCCTAGGGTAATAACCACCAGGCCAGGGTACATACAGTCCAGCATGAAGCCAGGTGCGTGCATCGTTAAAGAGGTTACAGCAGGATCGCCACTGGCTTCTATTCTGAGCCATATCTGATAACGTTTCTAATCACTGTGTAGCACCATCTCTCGGACCCCAGCCAGGGAGTCGTGAAGGACCAACAGAAGCCAGTCCTTTGCAGCTTTCTTTCATCCCACGACACCGTGTCATATACTGACCACCTCCGCTTTTTCGAACCAGTCCCAGAGTCGGCAAATAATGCACGACGTGGAATTCTCTGGGACGACATTCGTAGAACATGTCCAAGCCACCGAAGGCGGTGTTTCAAGATGGTGACATCGATTGCATTATCGTCTCCGTGCCCGAACACACGATGCCGAACCTCTGCATTACTAACATGGTGTCGCCACTGGATGTCAGCAATCCTTCGGAGACAACGATGACCGAACACGGAGAGTCATCTAACGTTCTCAACTCGGAGAGGCCAGGTTTCACAAGCATGGAGCAAAACTGTTCTCACCGACGCGTTGTAGATCCGACCTTTTACAGCCAGATTAACGTCACGAAGGCGCCAAATATGGCCTGGATTGGCATAAGCCGCTCTGTCTTTCACTATACGTGCATTGATCTCATCACTCACACCACCACCAGCACTTATGCAGCTACCTGGATACACGAACTTCTCGGCCAGTTGAACTGCCCTTCGAAAAATTCTGCCCATCGTCCAAGACACCGATGGATGTTAATGATTGGCATCCTGTCATCCTCACAGATTGTTTCGCTCACATCAGACTTTTTGCTGCCAGTGGCTCGGATGAGTTGGAAGGGCTTCCGGTAGTTACCAGATGCAGCTGCTGCTTCCAGCTCATTAGCACGCTCCGACCACCAGGCTTCTCGGTCCTTACGCAAACTTTGCCTGGTTTCATTACGTAACAGCCTTCGTTTGTGGTCAAACTCACGGTCATCCGGAGTAGACCGACAGGCTTCAATGAGTTGTAAGGAACCAGAAGAAACCCAGTGCTTATAAGCGGGACATTTCGCGAAACCAATGTTCATCTTTACTTTTTGGTGGAATGGTAGCTAGCCTAAAAGCTATCTCGGTTCGATAGTTCATTGCAACAGAAGTTGCAACCAACTTGCTAATATCAATCCGTTGATGGCGGTCACTTCGTTGTCCACTGAAAAGTAAGGTAAGATGGGCGCAGACCAAGGCATGATCAGAGCCCAGATAGGTACTCCAAAAGGAGCGGCAGTCTTGTACACAACCACGCCAGCGGTAGCTGATCGCCGATGTGATCAATCTGAGTCCAGGCTTGATATGCAGATGGAGGACGCCAGGTGGCACATCGGCGATGACTGTGCCGAAAGTTAGTGCTAGCTAGAAACAGGTTGTGGTCTGTGCACAGTTGCAGTAGACGGTCCCCGTTATCTGTCCTGCGATCAACAAGCCCCCATCGGCCACCTAAACGACTCTCTTCTGTGCCTAGACGTCCGACCCGAGCATTCAAGTCTCCGGCTAGTCCTACAGTATCCGTCGAACTCACTTTCTGGAGAAGAACAGTTAACTGGTGGTAGAATTCATCCTTGATTGCATCTGGGCTGCAATCTATCGTTGCATACTCGGAGATGACGAAAAGACATCGTTTCTCAAGTCGATTTCTTCTCACTTTGATGGACCTCTCTAATCTAACAGCACATAACCGACTGTTAATGGGGATCCAGTCGATTAGTGCTGCCTCAGCTCTAGTGCTAAGTGCGACACCAACGCCAGCAAGACCAGACGAAGATGTCACAGGGTCCTCGGATAAACGCACGTAAGACAAGCTTTTTGAAGCAACAGATGGAGAGCGAATTTGTAGTACTTCACCAGAGTCTTGAATACGGGTCTCGGCTAGACAACAAACGTCAAAATTAAGACTTTCCAAAGACATAGCTAGCCCTATTTGTTGTCCGACCTACATAAGTATGCGAACGTTGAAGATATCCAGTTTGAATGGTGCACGTGGTCTCAGAAAAACTGTTTCAGTACTCATATTCGGTGGTAAAATACGATTTTCAACTGGACAGTGACTCGAGAACGTTTAGATAGAGTCGAATTTCCACCCAAGACGAGCTGCTGTATAGGTCGAAATAATAAGTATAGACAGAGTAGGAATAAAAAAGGGTGAATAATGTTGTAGTAAATAATAATAATAATAATAATAATAATAATAATAATAATAATAATTTGGATCATTTGATTGTTATTGGAAGCGAGAAAAGTAGTTTCCATAGATAGGGTTCATCATTTGTGTGTGGGCTGTGATACTGCCTGGGTGCGCAGACCGAAGGAGGTGGTTGTCTTAGGGGGCCACACCCCGAGCCTTTGATCTAAAGGTCTAACCCACAAGGCAGTGGAGCATCGTAAGGAGATGCAGTCCCATGGTAGATGGTGACCGAAAATTGGTTCATACGTCATTTGTTCTCTCAGGATACAAACGATGAACTCTATGTCTATGGCAACTTTTCTCGCTCCGAAAAACAATCAGTTGTGGCGCATATATATTGGCGCTCTCTTGTACCAATATTCATGAGTCCAAATAATAATAATAATAATAATAATCAGGATACTGGAGCCCATGTGCACCATTGGTTTGGAATCCGGTTAAAGCGCCGGACATTCACTTTTCGTCCTTTCATTTTCGTAAACAACACCCCCATCACGAGAATGCACTGAGTAGGACTTCTCTGGCCGATGCTGTATACGCGTGGCCGTGTGAGAGTATTTGGAGAGGGAGGGCGGGCCCACCCCACTCTCGGTCATACCAGGGCATTTGGGGGCTACTACTTTTGTTGATCCAGAAGTAGAAGTTCTGTTAAGGGTTCAAAATAATGTTTTTGTTCGGTAAGTAAGGGTACAGATGTAGTAAATTGGAAAAGCTTGACATCCCTAAGAATACATTACCATAGCAAGAACAACTACTCTTTTTAATGACTTCTATTTTGTTTATTCTGGTCTCATCACTGCCTTTTTTTCTCTTTAGAGGATGCTGACATTTTTCGAATTCGGGATATTTGTGCCATGCGTCCTGTCCCTGAAAATCTACGCCCTGACGTTTGGCGCATATGTCTGAGGTTGGACACTCAGTCGCAAGCAATGGCTACATTTAACGATGTTTTGGAATTAGAAAATCAGTCACAACTTCATGAAGATTGTGAGTTGGCTTCTAAGGAGTTATTTAATCGTCTGACCAAACAGCATAGTCTTCAACAGTCGAAAAATATCTCTAATCTGTCAGTGAACAGTGATAATTATGATTCAGATTTAGAAGCGTCATCCCTCAGTATGTTCCTCCCACCAGCTGCAAAGATATCTAGTGATTTGGAATCTGTTTTAACACATTTCGCTCAGACTTATCGTTTGAAATATAGTTCAATCAACGGTTGGGTATCAATACTTAAAGTACTTTTCATTGTCCTGAAACCGACCAATCGGTCGGAACTGTATGCGAGTTTCGTTTCATTCTACCATCGTTTCGTTGCTACGGGAGTAAATATTGACCAATGTGTAAGCATAGTTTTCCGTTTGTTGTTGCAATATCACGAACCAAAGTTGTGCAGCTTTTTGGATTCATTAAAAGTTAGTCCTGAAAGTTATTTCATACCTTGGATGTCAAGTCTTTACGCTGATTTTATATCAGAAGATGTTATACCATCCCTATGGGATTTATATTTCTTGAAGTCGGATCCTTTGCTTGGCTTCTATATTGGATTACTACTTATTGTTAATACCAAGTCCGTTCTTCTTAACCAACAGTTCGATAAAACTGAGGATAATGAAAATGATTCAAATACAAATAATTTACTTTCGTATACTAATGATCAGACTTCTTTCGGTAAGTGTGAATTTTGAATATTATCTATTTTTCCTTCAAATATAAATGAATTGTTTATTTATAATTATCATAAGATCGTCCAACCTCATGTCAAATTAAAGTTTGGTTTAATTTTTCAGGCTCCGGACTTTCTCTTAGTGAGTTGTCAATTTAAAGATCACGTATCTATTGCGGTTTTTCTATTTGATTCATTTCTCAAATAACAAATAAAACTCAGTCTCTTAGATCTGTGTTAAGTATGGATGCTAAGTTGGATTTATTATCTACTAAATAGCTGTTATTGTGACTTTTTCGATGGTAATATAACCAAATAAAGTCAGTCAGTCAGTCAGTAACAACGTAGAACTTCGTACGTAGGTACATCAGTTCAAGTTGCCATACTACATTAGTACAGAGATTCAGTTGTCAATTCAAATCTCATAGTGGTAGAGGTTGTAAAAGTATAGGTAGTAATCGGAAAAATTAGGGTTTGAAGATGTTATTCAAGGAGTATAATCCATTGAAATAAATTTGGAAAGAAAAAGAAAAGGGACATGAAGAATTCAGAAGATTAGAATTTGGGAGAACACAAAGAGTGTATGCACCTGCGCCATTGCAAACGATTTTGAGCCATGTCATTCAGGGTCTATAACCATCGGTTGCTATCATCTCGCGGTCCCCAACCAGGTAGTCTACACCTACCGACATGACTCAGACCACTTGTCAGTGACTTCATGGACTTGTGCCATGTTTTGGTCTGGCCGCCCCTAGCTTTCTTCCAACCTACTCCTATACCACTGAACATCGCACATCGAGGCAGTCGGTCGTTGGGCATACGTAACACGTGTCCAAGCCATCTCAACTGATGAAGTTTCACTACGTCATCAATTGATTTGCCATCCTTACCTAGTACCCGTTTCCTAACAACTGCATTACTTACTCGGTCAGTCCGTTGTCTCGTTTCAGAGTTATATCATTCAGGTAGTCTACTAGGCATGTATCGCATGAACTGGACCTAAGAAATCCATGGTGGGAGGTCGATATGGGATTATTAGTAAGTAGATGTTGAACCAACGCCGCCTTAATCACTTTTTCATCACTCCAGAAAGCACTGAAGTTATGTTTATGAGCCGGTAATTGTCAACATTTGCTTCATGTCCTGTTTTAATTTTGGGAATGATATGTGTAGTTTTCCAGGCATTCGGCTAACACGCTGTAGAGAGTGATATCACAAATAGTTTGAGAAGCAGAACACACATATCAACACCTACATGTTTTAACATGCTAGCTGCAATACCATCTGGTCCATCAGTGTAGGAGTGTTTTAATGTACTAGTTGCCTTGGAGATATTTTGTGCATTGAAGTCTACATTAGTAATCTCACAGGGAGGTACTGGGATTGGTTCTGAATCACTCAGTGGTTTTTCGTTAGTTAGTGAGAAACAAAAGTGTTCACTAAGTAGTTCCGTAACAAATTTAGGATCTTCGTATACTAGTTTGTCTCTAATAAATATAGTCCATGCTTCAGATATCATTGTAAGTGATGATTGATATATGGATACAAGCAGGGATAAATCCGTCTTTTTATTGCAGATCGGCCTAGCGTTGATAAGACATAAATTAAAGAAATGACCTACTAATTTAAAATGGGTTAAAGTATCTCGAATAAAGTTGTCATGACCCTCGTGGATGTGAGATGAGTTTAAAGTGAGGGATTGGATGTCTTTCAACACCTCAGTGTTTTGATAGCTAAAGTTAGTGGGAGATGTATCAAATGAGCTAGTGAAATTGATTGGGGAGTTTATCTAGGGGAAAGGGTGGGAGTACTTTCTGATGGAAATTGTACGGGGGAAGCAAGTTTATGTTCTCCATGTAGTTCGAAATGATTTAAACAAGAGGGGGGGCATGTTGATCTGTCTGACCTTTTTCTAAGGCGGATGACTTTGCTGTTAATGTTCAGCATACTGTATGCTTTAAGTCAAGCATCCCTGAACGTAGATGGGTGTGTGCGATCGGGGAGGTTATACGCAACTGCATCGAAGGAGGACATCAATCTTTTCGTCACTTCTTCAGCCACAAACTCCAAAATACACTCAGCTTTGGTGAGTTGCTCAAGATTTCTATCAATGTCAAGGCCCCATATATGTGTGAGGGTTGCTGCATAGTTAAGTCTGCCGTTAATCTCAGTCAGAGAGTTTTGTAGCTGACGGATGTCAGTACTATATCCATCAGTATTTTAGTGTGTATGAGATGAACTATTAAACTCTTTAGTTTTTGAAATTTTAGATTTAGGCCCTGTTAGAACATACTGTCTGGTAGACTGTGCTGACTTTTCGATGCATGTCGGTATAGTGTCTTGTATGTCAACCAGTCTTACCGTTGGCATACTGCACGTAGAGATAGAGGGGGTGTGACATGGAGAATCTGTTGATGATAGTTATACCTGTGGACAATACGCATATTGTTCAGTAGATGAAGGTTCGATATTGTCAGGTATTATTATTATTATTATTATTATTATTAATAGCTTTATTCAATATTATATTTTGGTACAATATAGAATTCTCAGCACAGGGTATTTCAACAATTTACTTACTGAACAACGAACAAAAGGCAGTAGCGAATACATAAAGAAATATATAAAATAAAAATAAAAATAAAAAAAAACCCAAAGGAAACTACAAACTTTTAAAATTAAAGACATGTTAAGAATGTAAGTTATTGACTAGGTTAATTCTAACAACCTGTTCGTCACAGAGTATATTTGCTAGGTAAGGTATTATAGAACTTCTATACTTTTCCTTGCGTGCAAGGATTTTAATGTAATTACGTCTCGTTCTACCAGAAGATATACAAGGAGAAAGATAAGAGTGAAGGGGATGGCTAGTATCTGATAAAATAATACCTGCCAGGAGTTTGCATGATTTTAAATGTCTATCCACAACCATATTAATTATGACCTCGAAAGATTCACCACACGTCTTACTAACTGCCTTTAGTACTCTTCGCAATACAGCAAAGTCTTTTCTCAAAAGCCCGGGAAAAAATAATGGAGAACAGTAAAGAATAATAGGTAATATGCAAGAATTGACAAATTGTAAGAGAAAATGACGAGTAATTCCAAGAGCATGCAATCTCTTTATGTAGTAGGTCAGACGGAAAACCTTCTTTGATAACGATAAAACGTGGGAAGACCAAGACAGATCAGAGGAAAAGGTGGCACCAAAATAATTGACCTTCGACACCGCGTTTATCAAAGAGTCTCCGATGGTACAAGCACTATGGGATCTCAAAATAGTGTTTATATTCCGTTCATGTCTCATACTAAAGTTAACAGCTTGACATTTAGATGGATTAAGTATGAGACCATTACTAACAGACCAACAATCAAAATGAGACAAAAACTCATTCATTTCTATGGGATGTAAAGAGGAAGATATAGGCATACATACAGTGAGGTCATCCGCATACTTCACAAAAGTGTTTTCTGTGGAAGATGGCAGGTCATGCAGAAAAAAAGAGAATGGAAGAGGTGAAAGAACAGCTCCTTGTGGTACACCTTCCTGAGACAGTAGAGAATCTGAACACTTTCCTCCAAACACAGTGTATTGTTCCCTTCCAGAGAGGTAGGAACACAGCCAGTTGGTTATCCAGCTGTCAGTGTTGACGCTGATTAACTTGTTAAGTAAACGTTGTCTTGGTATAGAGTCAAAAGCTGAAGTGTAGTCTAGAAAAGCACATCGAACATACTTCTCACCCTTTTCTAAGTTGAACACTATGTTGTGATGCAGAACTGCAACAGCATCTAAAGTGCTTCTTTTGCGCCTGTATGCAAACTGGTATGGGTCAGTATGCCCTTTTATCGCAGGCTGAAGTGGAAGTATTAACAATTTTTCCATGGTTTTGAGGAAAGGTGAAGTTATTGCAATAGGTCTAAAATTTACATTCTTATCACCAAATGCTTTCTTGGGTACAGGAATTATCCTCATCTTTCTCCACATTTTTGGTATGAGATTAGATGAGAAAGATCTGTTAAATATAGTTGTGAACGGATGACACAGAACGTCAGCACATTTTTTAAAAAGGATGTTTGGGATACCATCAGGACCCAAACATCGAGATGAATTCAGCGACTGGAGACATCCTCGTACATCAGTTTCAGTGAAAGTATGAACACAGCTATTTTTTAAACCCGTGGATAGAGGGAGCATCACATCAGATGACTGACGTACAAAAGACTTATTTAAGTCACAAACATTCAGCTGGTTATCGCTTTTAAACTTTCTGTCACCTGTAAGTTCTTTAAAGAATTTCCACATACTTGTAGAGTTTTTGCAAGATAAGAGTTTTTGAGTAAACATGCAGTTGAGACGTCTAATCTCTAGGTTTATCAGACCATTTAGCTTACGAACTTCATTTGAGTTCTTCTCCTTGTACATTCTTTCTTTCAACCTCCGTAGTCGTTTTAGTTGTGAAGATGTAAGTCGATCATAGGGGTTACAGGTTTGAACCTTTTATTTGGCGTAGAATTTGATGAAATTTCTCTTTTACTGGAGTTATTGCTCATGATGTGAAAATGGGTGAATAGAGAGCTCGTTTAACTCAATATAATATCTGAGTTACAGCTGTTATTAAGTATTAACCTAGTTAATACAAGGATCAGAGACTATGAGTATATGATAAATTTCAAATCTATTTAAGACTTAAGTCCGCGATAGGAATAATATGAACTAGTAAGTGTCCGTCGAAAAATATTTTAGGGTAAAATGTACCATATATACAAAATAGGATGATAGTCTCCGCATAATATACCCTACAATTGAACAAGTCGAAGAATTCCCAAACCATGTGGAAAAGTTATCCCTTTCAAATTTCAGTCTTCGGTAATAAGGATAGGAGTTCTGTCGACCTATATTAACCCTTGCAGTTTGTAACACTGTGGAGGATCAATCTCGTTTTTAATATATCGACAGAAAATGCTGATATTACGTGTTCCAGTAGAGAATTCCAGTAATTCACTACTCGATGCGAGAAACGAAACTTCAGACGTAAACGACTTGATCTCGGTTTTTTGAACTTCCTTCGTATATCCTCTTAAATGATCCGTCCTAAACGGAAGTAAAAGATAGGGCATGTTAATACCAAGGTCATCGTTCAGTATACGATAAGCCAATATTAGATCACCCCGTATTCTACGGTCAGATAACGAAATAAATTAAGGTGTCTCAATCGGTCTTCATGAGATAGACGAGCTAGACCTTTCGCCATCTTAGTCCCTTGTCGTTGTACTCTTTCCAGCATATCTGCCTCATACTTAAAACAAGGACCCACTGCTTGAATCCCATATCCCAAATGTGGTAGCACGAAAATCGGGTATAATAAACTAAACAATTCGTCATCTACATACTGGAAAGACCTGTAGTGGCATTGGACGCTAGCCACGCAATCCTTAGAGCTGAGCACGGGACAGCTGGGAAAATGGATGGTCAATATTTAACGCGGAGAAAAACCCAACGGTGGAGAAGGCGGGAAGAATGAATGGGGTTAATTCGAATTGATCGAACGACATGGCTCGGCGTGGTCACCCTTAAGTGTTGTAACATAATCTTTTAGTCACATTAAATATGTTGTTTATCTCCAGTCTTAATGTGTTCCTCATCACGTATTGATGATTGTTACGACGTGGTGACTTGGTGTTGACAATGATGTGACTTCCACGTAAGATCTTATGGATTAGGCAGTTATATCGTGACAAATCTACGATATTAGGATTAGGTCTATTATTAGAGCAGTGCTAATATCATAATAAACCATGATTCTACAGACCTACGAATAGACCATAACACCCTATAGCCTTTCGCAGCAGCAGCAGCCTTACAGTGACTGGTGGTTTTGTGATCACTGCTTAATATGACTCCTAAATCTTTACAGTTTCTTACCTTGGGTAGCATGAATCCACATATTATGTAATGGTACGAATCATCAGTTATTTAGTTGCATCTCCACCTTCTTGTTAGGATTTACTTCTAGTGACCACCTGTCCATCCATGCCACCAATGAGCTAAGATCACCCTGTAATACTATCCATCCCACATACTGTGTATGAATCTCCAAATTTTCATGTTATCGCTTCCAAGACCTGACTGCTCGAAAACCCACTAACCGGAGATTTTCCTCGCCGTTTTGTCCACGGGTTTCTAGTTCAGCTAGTGTCTTCTTCTTTATATTGCATAATATATATTTATATTATACGATATTATGGTGAACCCAAATAAGTGTTCATTTTGTGAATATGGTTTTGAATGTCTTGCATACCTAGTTGATAGTAACGGTTTTAGACCAGATATCAAGCAACCAGCTCCATTGACAAATGCACCATCTCTGAAAAATCTTGCGGAACTATGTTCACTAATGGGCGCTCTTCATTACTATTCCCGTTTCATTGCTAATTTTTATTGTCATGCCGACTGCTTATTTATTATTTTGACATCCAACTTACTTAAATAAGGTGAGAAACAAGAGACATGCCTACGAAGTTTACCAGAGTTTCTTCAGAGTGGTGGCGTCCAATAAAGGGCGGCCTGCTTGAGCATCTGGGCTACTCGTTCCTGCCATCTAGATATTTCAACAAGTTATCTAGTTTTGTTTGTTTTAATATATCATTATGTTTATTAATCGCATAACCTGTTCTGCTGCGTTTCTGAAAAGTGCACAACCTTTCGTTGTCAAGGTTACAAAAAGCTCAATAAGAGACAATGTGGTTGCTGGCAATATACAACGAAAAGAATGCACATTATTCAGATGTTCATTTACTGAACTGCTAACATCTAACTGGCTATCACTCAATATTTATCGCCAGGATCAACCAAGAAGAAACGGAAACTTGTTGAAATACTTTACGCTGAGAATTTTATATTGTACCAAAAATATAATATTGAAATATATATATATATATATATATATATATATATATATCCCTGATGATATTTTGTGTTTAAATGATCGTGTTGTTATTCCTCCTTCTTTGCGTAGATCTGTCCTTGAATGTGTTCATAGTGGACATTTAGGTGTTGAGAAATTGAAGTAATTGGCAAGGCTAACATGTTGATGACCCGAGATGATTACATGAATCTGTCTAGCAACAAACAAATGTGGAAGATTTCCTAACTCTAGAAATCATACTTCGAAGTGGACTCTATGGCAAAGAATTCACAGAGACTATTGTAGTCCATTTTGTGACAAATACTATGCACTTGCTGTCGTTGTTTGTTTCTCAGTCGACTTACAATTTTTCCCAATTTCAATGAATTGTGACTTTACCTTCCCAGTATTAAGGAAAGCTTTTAGTCGGGAGGAGTCCCTATGGTGTTAGTTACTAATGGCTACAGATACAGTCACTACCTGGTTGAATGGGATAGGATGCAGACATCTGTTCACAAGTTCTTGACAGTCTCCTACTAGTGGTCAGGCAGAGAATTTCATTTGAACGTTGAAAACTTTTATTGATTCCACTACTGCTTCAACATTGGATGAGCTGCAGATGGGAGTAGGCTTATGTCTACTGCAATATAGAAGCGCTAAACATTCTATAACGAAAGAGACCTCATCAAAGTTATGAAAAGGAAGGATTATTCGTTCGAATATTAGGAGTTTAGAATCTGTAGATGTTACATACAGCCACGGGGATTGTTGTGAAGAATGTCAGGAAATCTATGGTGGAAATTCAGGATGTCGGTTATTTAAACACACACAACTGATGTACTGATCATATGCAATTCCATGAACCGGGTGAGTCTGTTTTTCAACCGTCAACAAGGCATAAAGCAAGGGGTCAGACCATCTCGTACGTGTTACCGAATTACCTCATTCCCAATAAAATGAAAAGATTAGATAAAATGAGGCGCTGGCATCGGGAAAACAATCCATTCAATCATATGCAGGAGCAGTTAAATGCTGAACTATTTGGTATGTCATTAAATGGATATCATATGAAGTGTACTGTGATACGATCGCGATGCTTGACCGTATTTCCTTAATTGGTCATTATCACTTACAAATCCCTATAAAACCACCTGCTTTTCTGATATGTTGACCGTTATAGATAGGGACTACAATAATCTAAGCGCTCTCCATTCCGCCATGATTGGATTTAACGATCTTACGAAGGGTGTGTTAGATTTATTTACTTGGCTATACTTGATGGCTATATATAATCAAGTATATTCAAAGGTACAGGTGACTTTTGATGCGCTTTGCTGGGAAGTCCCATGCTAAAACGAAACGGCCATCCATTGCTTCCAGGTTTTCAATGGTAGTCTAGCTTGGATCGAATCGTGAGTCCAACTGTTGAAATATTACGTCCTCCACAAATTCCCATCCAAAAACCACTACATGTGATGTGTAAATATCAATAAACAGGACACTGACGAATGGCCTTATGATTACTGATAACATCATCTGAAACGTAGTTTTTTAATGCTGTAAGTTACGCCCTTATTTCTATTTGGAAGGAGCCAAAGTAGTGGTTGTAGTGGGTATTTATTCATATCGAGGGACAGAACAGTTGGTGAGCTTTCACCGTTCAGTGCGAGATTCTAAGAAATATAATGCCCAATAAAAATAAGGAAGTAAATAAACACTTGAGCTGTATTGTTTTGATGTTACCGGGATGCCTTGGATCAACTATTACCCATCCAACTTAAGTTGTTACTTGAACTTCCTCCAGTAACCGACTTCCATAGGAATGTTGGTTCGACTGATTTGTTAAACTGACATATTAATTTGGATTCCTCGCCATAATGGCACATTACTAACTCTCAGTGTTTGACTTCCATTATTTTACAACCAATGACGTCCACTGCTTAATCAGTCGTCACAGATAGTTTATAGATTTCACATATGTCTTTTACTAGCTCGTTATTTTGTATCGAAATTACCTACATTCTTTCTACGGATTATCGCACATAACCTGTACGTGCCCTCTACATGAAAATCAGAGAGAGTAAGGGAATGTAAGGTGAGAAAATGAAACATGAATGTCCTAGGAAGTGCAGCGAGCAGGCTGCCTAACACCATATTGATTAAATATGATTCTCCCATGATTTGTCCGTCTGTCAAGTGCTTAATTACCTGAGCTGAATACTGGTCCACTCGTGGTAACTAGAGTACGAAGTGGATAGCCCTGTGAACTACGAATTAGCATATTAATTCTACCGCTTTTACCTATCGTTCACACTAGAAACATTTGATGCTAACGCCGTTTGATTATATTGTAATTAGAAGGAATTTAATATTACGAACAAGGCGTAATAGATTGTGCTAGTTTACCCGGATGTTTTGATGGGCCGTTTTCACTTAAATTTAATATATCTACGTTTGCCTATTGAAGAAACATCAGTGCTACTCAGAGCGGATGCATACAGATCACTTGGTTGACAGATGGGTTTAGACGAGTTGGATGAGAACGGTGTAACCTGGCCTACGCTGAGACTACATCTCATAGTAAACACCAATTATGGGTCACCTTAAACTGGTATTAAGGTAATGGAACTGTATTGTTGACTTTATGGAAGAAATTCATAGGAAATTTAATAATGACAGTACTCAGATGAACGTAATTTAAAATTTAAGATTAGCTCTTGAAGTCAAGATAACAATTTTGAAAACTTTAACTGGAATTGTGTAAACTTTAAATAATATGACCAAATAGTACTAATGTTGGTAAGTTTAGAACTTGACAAGACAAAAACTTGCATTCACAGTAAGTAGTGTGAAGTTGCATTACATTATTATGATAGATTTAAAAGGAACATAAAATATTTATAAATACAGTGAATACATTGGTCAGCAAACACAATCTGAAACGCCAGTTCTATTTATTGGACACTGAATATACACCTTGCCTTGGTAGCGCTCTCTGGAATAATTTATTTACAATGTCAGATTCGTCCGATGTGACCGAAGTGGATGAATCCTGGAAGGTTAACCTTGAGATCGCACTGTTAGGTAATCCGAAATGTTTGTTTGTCAACGCTTTTTCGACAATTTTTGAGACTGGTAGTTAATGAGAGATTTCTTGGTAATAAAATACGTCAGCTTTGTATAATCATATATATAATTATGTTTTATTTTAGGCTAGTCTAGTCACTATGAATCCATTGTGGGCCCCAGTTACTTCACAAAGAATATGACGCTTTAGATTCTCGCATCAGTAAGCTCTCTGGGCTCAGCGCTAGCGCATCCTAGAGGATTATTTCGTTCCACCAGTTTTTTAAAACCGTAAATAACAGGAAGGAATTGTTCACTAAGGATAAAACTGTATGAGAAATGTAGAGCTTATGTCGTTAAGAACGTAGGCCTGATCCCAAACTAATGGTGCACCTGGGCTCCAGAATCCTGAGTTAACAAATGAACCAATTTTTGGTCACTGGCTACCATATGACTGCATTTCCTGACGTTGCTCCACTGCATCGTGGACCAGACCTTTAGGTAAAAGGATCCAGATGTGGCCCCCTAAGAAAATCACCTGTTTCGGTTTCGACACCCGAGCTGTACCATAGCCCACACACAAATCAAGTGAATTGTGTGATGCATATGTATTTGGTGCTCCTTTGTACCATTATTTATGTGTTCAAATAAATAATAATAAATAACCATCAATTTCATCATAGAGCTACTGCTGGAAATAAAGTTCTCGTCGTCTAGATTTTCGGGAATCGACCTACTTCCAGGAGTTTCGCTTATTGACTTAGAATACGCAGATGACATAGTCCTGTTTGGTGAAAACTTACAAAATGCAGTCTTTCAGTAGCACTGAGCAACAATGTCAGGATGTTTGGGGTGTGTTTCTCCCTCTTTAAATGCAAATTTTTGCTTTAGGACTGGCCTGCGCCAACACCTGAACTAAGGATAAGGAGTGAACTAGTCGAACGCGTCAACAACTTCACTTGTGTTGGTAGTGTGATCAGCCCTAATGGGTTCAGAAAGCTCGTTTGTCTTTTGTCAACTTACGTCACTTATGACGACTAGATATTCGTCTATCAACCAAGGGACGAGTATACTGCTCAGCAGTTCGTTCTGTTTTCCTTCGCGGCTGCAAAACGTGGTCTTTAAGGGTAGAGGATACTTTTTTTCCACATAAACCACTTCTCTCTCATTGTATCATATCCTTATGTTATTACCATTTAAGGTAACTACTATGAATTTGGTGTTGTGCTAATGAGGTATAGGAACTTGGACCAATGCGTGTATGTGCCTGATCCTACGTTGTAGCTGACTGATTCTATTTTAAAACATTTGGATTGAATGTTGTTGAAGGTACGGATGACATCCTCAACTGGTCATTTTAAATACATCTGCTAGAGTTGGGAGACTTACTTCAATGTTCCATTCAGGCTGTCTGGGAATGGAGGGTAGTTGTAGAGTAGCTGAACGCCAGCTGAACTGTTCTCTGAAATGTTCCGCCCATCGTTCTAAACGTCTGGACTGAGAGCAGATGAGGGTGTCGTCTTTTTCCGAAATAGTCTGACTTACACTTGATTTATTAATTCCAGTTTCTTTTATTAGTCTGTAGAGCTGTCTTGTGTTCCCTATAGCCGCCGCCTTTTCCATCTCTTTTGCTTTCGTTGTCCACCACTGCTCACGGTCGTTCCTTAGACTTTTGGTTAACCTAGATCTGATTTGTTTTCGCTCTCCATCGTGTTCAGAGCCTGATGGGATGAGTTTACGGGAACCCATCAGTGCAATAGACCTTGGGGAAATCCATTGGTTCTTTGTAACCCTGTGGTTCAAATCAGTGATAGATGTCACTGCTGTTTGTATAGCTTTCCTAGCAACATCTGGGTCAACCTCATTTTCAGAACTACCTAATTGTGACCTCAGTTGTTCCTGGAACCTACTTTTGGTTTTCTCGCTACTCAATTTAGTTCTAATGGGTCTTTGTACTGTGGCTTTTTTGCGTCCAGTGAGGCGCAGGCAGATGCGTGCCCGTATTAGGGTATGGTCGGAGTCCAAGCAGGTACTCCAGAATGAGCGACAGTCTTCTACCGACCCTCTCCAACGATGACTGATGGCAATATGGTCTATTTGAGTCCATCTGGGCATTAAAGTCACCTGCTACGAGTACTATGTCTGAACGTTTAGCCTTCTGAAGAAGTTCAGATAGCTTTCTGTAAAATTCATCTTTCACTTCATCTGAGCTGCAGTCGGTGAGAGCGTAGGCAGAAACGACAAAAAGACAACGACGTGTGTCCCTATCCTTCCGAGTTCTTACGGAGCCGTTTAGCCGAACAGCACATAAACGACTGTTAACGGGGATCCACTCTAACAGTGCTTGTTCCGCCCTCATGCTTAGTGCTATCCCTACTCCTGCCAGTCCACGAGAGCTGGCCATCGCGTCACTAGATACACGGAGGGTGTATCTCGTTGGCTCTCCGTGTTGCCGAGGTGAGGTCAAGTGAATGACCACACTGGGATCCTGTATGCGTGTTTCAGAGACACAGCATACATCAATGGCACGAGACTCTAGGGTTCTAGCCAAGAAAGCCTGTTGACCGATTTGACATAGGGTGCGTACATTGAAGGCTCCAATGTGTAGTTTGGAGCGAGGTTTCAGTAGACCTGGGACAGTGTTTTGAGCACTAGAATCGTTGGCTATGGTGACATTTGAGGAGGAAGCCGAAAAAGGAAGTTTAGAGGTGAAAGTCGATGTAGGAGGAGTAATAGGAAGTGAAGACAGGTTGATTATGAATACAGTGGTCTTGAGTGCTGTCAGAGGTATGAGGGCGGTTATCACTTCCCGGTTACCCACACCATGGAGGGGTTCTTCTGGAGGTACCCGGAAAGGAAATTGGATTAGAGGTGGTCTTAGTGACTTGGGAGCATGACCGCAGTGCCCAAGGGACAACTGCTTGAGGTCGGCCACACACGACCTTTTTATGGGTAATTTTTGTGTTAGCTCCATACTTGTTCAGACCTTACCGCCGGAGATGGATATCCGTGAGATAAGGCGAGGTGTGACATTTCTAAGGTCGACCTTTTATAACCACAGCCCTCCTTGTGGGAAGGCAGCATTGCTGTTATGCTGGTTGTCTAAAGGAAACACCTTACTGCTCTCACACCTCTGTACAGTCATCAGTACTACTTCGCCTTCGGATCTTGGGTTTGTTGCTTTTAGTCTTACCGCTCTTCAACCGACCTGTCTGACATGGTAGGACCCTGAGGGACAGTTGTTCCAGCCATTATAACTCCATCTTCTCATCACGATAGGCAAGTCCGACCACCACGTCAAGGTAGCAACAAAGGTCGGGAAATAGGAACAATAACAGGGCGGATTTGCATGCATATAGCATACAATTCTCTTTGAATCTAGCACAACAATGGCATCATGCACTGTCCCATCGGCCTTGGCCGATCAGGCAACCCGAAAGTTACGAGAACACCATCAGGGCATACGACAGGCTAGGTACCCCGGTCAAGAAAATAATAACCACTGGAGCTTAGGGTAATAACCACCAAGCCAGGGTACATGCAGTCCAGCACGAAGCCAGGTGCATGCCATATTCAACCACTGAAGCCTAGGGTAATAACCACCAGGCCAGGGTACATACAGTCCAGCATGAAGCCAGGTGCGTGCATCGTTAAAGAGGTTACAGCAGGATCGCCACTGGCTTCTATTCTGAGCCATATCTGATAACGTTTCTAATCACTGTGTAGCACCATCTCTCGGACCCCAGCCAGGGAGTCGTGAAGGACCAACAGAAGCCAGTCCTTTGCAGCTTTCTTTCATCCCACGACACCGTGTCATATACTGACCACCTCCGCTTTTTCGAACCAGTCCCAGAGTCGGCAAATAATGCACGACGTGGAATTCTCTGGGACGACATTCGTAGAACATGTCCAAGCCACCGAAGGCGGTGTTTCAAGATGGTGACATCGATTGCATTATCGTCTCCGTGCCCGAACACACGATGCCGAACCTCTGCATTACTAACATGGTGTCGCCACTGGATGTCAGCAATCCTTCGGAGACAACGATGACCGAACACGGAGAGTCATCTAACGTTCTCAACTCGGAGAGGCCAGGTTTCACAAGCATGGAGCAAAACTGTTCTCACCGACGCGTTGTAGATCCGACCTTTTACAGCCAGATTAACGTCACGAAGGCGCCAAATATGGCCTGGATTGGCATAAGCCGTTCTGTCTTTCACTATACGTGCATTGATCTCATCACTCACACCACCACCAGCACTTATGCAGCTACCTGGATACACGAACTTCTCGGCCAGTTGAACTGCCCTTCGAAAAATTCTGCCCATCGTCCAAGACACCGATGGATGTTAATGATTGGCATCCTGTCATCCTCACAGATTGTTTCGCTCACATCAGACTTTTTGCTGCCAGTGGCTCGGATGAGTTGGAAGGGCTTCCGGTAGTTACCAGATGCAGCTGCTGCTTCCAGCTCATTAGCACGCTCCGACCACCAGGCTTCTCGGTCCTTACGCAAACTTTGCCTGGTTTCATTACGTAACAGCCTTCGTTTGTGGTCAAACTCACGGTCATCCGGAGTAGACCGACAGGCTTCAATGAGTTGTAAGGAACCAGAAGAAACCCAGTGCTTATAAGCGGGACATTTCGCGAAACCAATGTTCATCTTTACTTTTTGGTGGAATGGTAGCTAGCCTAAAAGCTATCTCGGTTCGATAGTTCATTGCAACAGAAGTTGCAACCAACTTGCTAATATCAATCCGTTGATGGCGGTCACTTCGTTGTCCACTGAAAAGTAAGGTAAGATGGGCGCAGACCAAGGCATGATCAGAGCCCAGATAGGTACTCCAAAAGTAGCGGCAGTCTTGTACACAACCACTCCAGCGGTAGCTGATCGCGATGTGATCAATCTGAGTCCAGGCTTGATATGCAGATGGAGGACGCCAGGTGGCACATCGGCGATGACTGTGCCGAAAGTTAGTGCTAGCTAGAAACAGGTTGTGGTCTGTGCACAGTTGCAGTAGACGGTCCCCGTTATCTGTCCTGCGATCAACAAGCCCCCATCGGCCACCTAAACGACTCTCTTCTGTGCCTAGACGTCCGACCCGAGCATTCAAGTCTCCGGCTAGTCCTACAGTATCCGTCGAACTCACTTTCTGGAGAAGAACAGTTAACTGGTGGTAGAATTCATCCTTGATTGCATCTGGGCTGCAATCTGTCGTTGCATACTCGGAGATGACGAAAAGACATCGTTTCTCAAGTCGATTTCTTCTCACTTTGATGGACCTCTCTAATCTAACAGCACATAACCGACTGTTAATGGGGATCCAGTCGATTAGTGCTGCCTCAGCTCTAGTGCTAAGTGCGACACCAACGCCAGCAAGACCAGACGAAGATGTCACAGGGTCCTCGGATAAACGCACGTAAGACAAGCTTTTTGAAGCAACAGATGGAGAGCGAATTTGTAGTACTTCACCAGAGTCTTGAATACGGGTCTCGGCTAGACAACAAACGTCAATATTAAGACTTTCCAAAGACATAGCTAGCCCTATTTGTTGTCCGACCTACATAAGTATGCGAACGTTGAAGATATCCAGTTTGAATGGTGCACGTGGTCTCAGAAAAACTGTTTCAGTACTCATATTCGGTGGTAAAATACGATTTTCAACTGGACAGTGACTCGAGAACGTTTAGATAGAGTCGAATTTCCACCCAAGACGAGCTGCTGTATAGGTCGAAATAATAAGTATAGACAGAGTAGGAATAAAAAAGGGTGAATAATGTTGTAGTAAATAATAATAATAATAATAATAATAATAATAATAATAATAATTTGGATCATTTGATTGTTATTGGAAGCGAGAAAAGTAGTTTCCATAGATAGGGTTCATCATTTGTGTGTGGGCTGTGATACTGCCTGGGTGCGCAGACCGAAGGAGGTGGTTGTCTTAGGGGGCCACACCCCGAGCCTTTGATCTAAAGGTCTAACCCACAAGGCAGTGGAGCATCGTAAGGAGATGCAGTCCCATGGTAGATGGTGACCGAAAATTGGTTCATACGTCATTTGTTCTCTCAGGATACAAACGATGAACTCTATGTCTATGGCAACTTTTCTCGCTCCGAAAAACAATCAGTTGTGGCGCATATATATTGGCGCTCTCTTGTACCAATATTCATGAGTCCAAATAATAATAATAATAATAATAATAATAATAATAATAATCAGGATACTGGAGCCCATGTGCACCATTGGTTTGGAATCCGGTTAAAGCGCCGGACATTCACTTTTCGTCCTTTCATTTTCGTAAACAACACCCCCATCACGAGAATGCACTGAGTAGGACTTCTCTGGCCGATGCTGTATACGCGTGGCCGTGTGAGAGTATTTGGAGAGGGAGGGCGGGCCCACCCCACTCTCGGTCATACCAGGGCATTTGGGGGCTACTACTTTTGTTGATCCAGAAGTAGAAGTTCTGTTAAGGGTTCAAAATAATGTTTTTGTTCGGTAAGTAAGGGTACAGATGTAGTAAATTGGAAAAGCTTGACATCCCTAAGAATACATTACCATAGCAAGAACAACTACTCTTTTTAATGACTTCTGTTTTGTTTATTCTGGTCTCATCACTGCCTTTTTTTCTCTTTAGAGGATGCTGACATTTTTCGAATTCGGGATATTTGTGCCATGCGTCCTGTCCCTGAAAATCTACGCCCTGACGTTTGGCGCATATGTCTGAGGTTGGACACTCAGTCGCAAGCAATGGCTACATTTAACGATGTTTTCGAATTAGAAAATCAGTCACAACTTCATGAAGATTGTGAGTTGGCTTCTAAGGAGTTATTTAATCGTCTGACCAAACAGCATAGTCTTCAACAGTCGAAAAATATCTCTAATCTGTCAGTGAACAGTGATAATGATGATTCAGATTTAGAAGCGTCATCCCTCAGTATGTTCCTCCCACCAGCTGCAAAGATATCTAGTGATTTGGAATCTGTTTTAACACATTTCGCTCAGACTTATCGTTTGAAATATAGTTCAATCAACGGTTGGGTATCAATACTTAAAGTACTTTTCATTGTCCTGAAACCGACCAATCGGTCGGAACTGTATGCGAGTTTCGTTTCATTCTACCATCGTTTCGTTGCTACGGGAGTAAATATTGACCAATGTGTAAGCATAGTTTTCCGTTTGTTGTTGCAATATCACGAACCAAAGTTGTGCAGCTTTTTGGATTCATTAAAAGTTAGTCCTGAAAGTTATTTCATACCTTGGATGTCAAGTCTTTACGCTGATTTTATATCAGAAGATGTTATACCATCCCTATGGGATTTATATTTCTTGAAGTCGGATCCTTTGCTTGGCTTCTATATTGGATTACTACTTATTGTTAATACCAAGTCCGTTCTTCTTAACCAACAGTTCGATAAAACTGAGGATAATGAAAATGATTCAAATACAAATAATTTACTTTCGTATACTAATGATCAGACTTCTTTCGGTAAGTGTGAATTTTGAATATTATCTATTTTTCCTTCAAATATAAATGAATTGTTTATTTATAATTATCATAAGATCGTCCAACCTCATGTCAAATTAAAGTTTGGTTTAATTTTTCAGGCTCCGGACTTTCTCTTAGTGAGTTGTCAATTTAAAGATCACGTATCTATTGCGGTTTTTCTATTTGATTCATTTCTCAAATAACAAATAAAACTCAGTCTCTTAGATCTGTGTTAAGTATGGATGCTAAGTTGGATTTATTATCTACTAAATAGCTGTTATTGTGACTTTTTCGATGGTAATATAACCAAATAAAGTCAGTCAGTCAGTCAGTAACAACGTAGAACTTCGTACGTAGGTACATCAGTTCAAGTTGCCATACTACATTAGTACAGAGATTCAGTTGTCAATTCAAATCTCATAGTGGTAGAGGTTGTAAAAGTATAGGTAGTAATCGGAAAAATTAGGGTTTGAAGATGTTATTCAAGGAGTATAATCCATTGAAATAAATTTGGAAAGAAAAAGAAAAGGGACATGAAGAATTCAGAAGATTAGAATTTGGGAGAACACAAAGAGTGTATGCACCTGCGCCATTGCAAACGATTTTGAGCCATGTCATTCAGGGTCTATAACCATCGGTTGCTATCATCTCGCGGTCCCCAACCAGGTAGTCTACACCTACCGACATGACTCAGACCACTTGTCAGTGACTTCATGGACTTGTGCCATGTTTTGGTCTGGCCGCCCCTAGCTTTCTTCCAACCTACTCCTATACCACTGAACATCGCACATCGAGGCAGTCGGTCGTTGGGCATACGTAACACGTGTCCAAGCCATCTCAACTGATGAAGTTTCACTACGTCATCAATTGATTTGCCATCCTTACCTAGTACCCGTTTCCTAACAACTGCATTACTTACTCGGTCAGTCAGTCAGTCAGCTACAACGTAGGACCAGGCACATATGTGCATCGGTCCAGGTTGCCATACCGCATCAGCACAACAAGATGAACACCGGATTCATAGCAGTGGTTAGGTTAAAGGTAGTAATATGTAAGAGAAAGATTGCATATAGAGATATAGTACAAGAAGAAAGAATTGGTTCGTAGAAAGAAAGATATGAAGCGATTTTAATCTCTTAGTTTAAGGGAAGACAGGGAGTGTACACACCGACGCCATTGTGATCGATTCTGAGCCATGTCAACAAGAGTCTCCAACCATTGGTTACAATAGTCACGCGGACCCCAACCAAGTAGTCTGCATCTACCAACATGGCTCAGACTAGAAGTTAGTGACTTCAAGGACTGATGCCACGTTCTGGTTTGGCCGCCCCTAACTTTCTTCCAACCATTTCCAATACCGGATAGCATTGCGCGTTGTGGTAATCTGTGTTCAGGCATACGTAACACGTGGCCCAACCACCTCAGTCGATGAAGATTCACAACCGCATCAACTGAATTGCCATCGCTCCCTAATACTCTGTGTCTAGCCTCAGTATTACTTACCCGGTGGTCCCAGGATATACGAGCAATGTTTCGAAGACACCTATGATCAAATACTAGTAACCTACGAATATCCTCTACTCTTACCGGCCGTAAAGTAAGACAGAACGGACTGCCGCGCAGTATGCTCATCCTTTTATTGATAGACGGATATCTCGCCTACGCCATAAATGACGCAAGTTGGTAAAAGCTAGTCGAGCCTTCTGTATCCGTGCTGAGATTTCGTCACAAACCAGACCACAAGGGCTGATGAGACTCCCAAGATAAGTGAAGCGGTCGACACACTCAACTACTTCACTCCCTATTACTAGTTCGGGTGTCGATGTAACCCAATCCTGAAGCAACATTTTGCATTTCGAGGGGGAGAATCGCATGCCGAACATGCTTGCATTGTTGCTTAGAGTAGTCAGAAGACTGCATTTTGTCAGCGTCTTCGCCAAATATACACCAGACTTCATTTGAAAGTTTATCCGGAGAAGTGATTTTGTGGGACTTTGATTATTTTAGTAGCTCACTCTTTTGACTCTTTGATCAAACTAAATACATTCTTGTCTGCTGGGAAACACTTTATAATCCAACTCCTGCTTCGGTTTGGGTACTCGGGCAGTATCACAGCCCTCACACATATCAAATGAGATTTGTGTGGCGCATATGTATTTGGTGCCTCCTTACACCAATATCTATGTGTTAAAATAAATAAATTATAATCCAATTGTTGATTCAGTATTTAATCATCCAACTTGAATTAGTTTTCGGTGTACAGTAGTCATTATTAAATATCATCTATAAACACCCTCTTCACTTTCAATTTAGTCAAGTTCACAGGTTCCTGTTGTCTAGCAGAAGTTATAAGAAATCCATCTGCGAGTAGAAACTATTTTCCCTCGTACTTAATAGTTCCACACCATTTAAATCATGATAGCTCATCTATGGACTAGTGTACAAATTTGTATATATATATATTTATAGTGTTAACTATTAGAAAATCATACAGGGTTATCTAAAACAACCTTTTTCAGTTGTGTTATCAGTATAGTCTTGTGAAGTGCAGTGAAGATCTCATCTGTTATTTTACCATAACTAACCATTTCTGTGTTTCCCAAATCATTATATTTACTTCTGGAATAGTATAGTGTTTAATGCAAGTCGGTTTAAACTTGAACTTTGTGTCAATTATAGAATTTTAGAGATGTTTTCCACTACTACATGCTGATGTTGAGTGATATCATCAGTATAGAATTTATATATATGAGGGGTTGATGGTACTTTATACTATTGGCTAATTTCCTTTCCTTTCTTGCTTTTAGAAAAGGTTAGGAATTTAATAATTAATCTTCCTAAACCGATGTGTGTTGGTGATTTGACAAGTTTAGTTGATATTATCGAAGTGTTCATCAACAACACGCCGATTTCTTTCCGGTCTCGATACCTTCCTATACTTTTTGGTAACGCTCAAATTGAGTCAGAACGTTCAGTTTTATTCGATGCCTTATGCATGCCAATTACTATCCAAGAAGTCCTCGATGCCCAATCAATGTGCCTACAAGATTATGGTCTTAATAATTCGTCTATTACACTACCAGATAACCCATCTGACTCGACAACTGATCTTCGCTATCTTCTTGTTGATTGTCGTCCTGCAGAGCAATATAATGCTGGTCACTTACCAACTGCTTTTTTCCTGGACTCATCTTTGATTATGTCTGAACCCCTAAAATTTCAAAATGCCGTTAAGGTTAGTTTTACTAAGTGTGATTACTGTTGAGTTAAAAAAGTGAGTATTTAACTACATTTAACAATCGCAGTGTAATTATCGTTATATCCTATTTTCACCTCTTATTCTTAGTATTAAGTTTAATTTTGAATGGTTTGTTGTTTGGGCTGCTAATCTATTAGGAATAAGTATTTAAAAAAGTTAACTGAAAATAGATCATAGTGACTAACTGGCATCTAGCTTTTATCTTAAATCTTGAAAATCCTGTTCTGGCTTTATTCATTCTTCCTATTTATATACTTCTTTTCGACATTTGTTTCTTTTTCATTGTGATAGTAAGAATTACAACAGCTCAGGCTTTTTTGTTCATTATTTTTAGTACCTCAAACTTCCAGTTAGTCGGATTAAATGATTTAATTATCATGATAATTTTAGAAAGTAATTTCTAATTCTCCTTTAAATCTAATTCGAATAGAATAAAACAAATAACTGAGCCAGAATGCCTTTTTATTTCTATGAGTTCTTCTTAGATGCTTATAATTTTAATCCTCCTATCCAGAAGGGAGGATAATAAGACATTACCTAAACATGTTTACTCAAGTTTTAAATCTTCAATTTTATTTGCTCTTAAATTTATCGTTCGAACACAGATCAGACGTTGGGTGCTGGTATTTTTGCAATGTATTTGGCATAAAAATTTTCGTTTAAAGACGGAGGGAAATGATTTCCTTGAAAATATTCCAAATTATACGGCTGTAGGTTCTATGAGATTGTGTTGTTTCAGTTCTATAAGGCGAAAATATTTAGAACTTTCAAGATCTGGCCAAAACACTGTTATGGAGCAGAGTTCTATGTCATTTAATTCAGTCATGTAATTTTGTCCTTGTATGTAACTTAAGCTAGGTCTTTTATTGTGTTTAGAATTAGTTTTATAATTCCGTTTCTTCAGTACCATGAAAATGAAGTCGATATTAACTTTTTGTGTGTTAGTAGAGAAAAACTACCAAATGTTTGATGGCCATATCCATTTAAATATGGAACTTTCCGGAGTGTCATGACATTTTGTCCAATAAACGTATTTTATTGTTACAACTAACCGTATAGTCTTCAGTATTTACTTGTCTTTTGACCACTGTACCAGTTATAACAGTTAATTTTAATCTTTAATCTGTGGGTGAAATTTGTGGTATTTCAACCAAGCGTTGCTGTAAAAATGCAAATAAATTATGTTACCTCAATCGTCACTCAATTTTCCCTAGTTGTGCATCTACTAACTGTAGTGGTGGTGTCCGATATATTTTATTGCTTTTCCTCATAATGTAACGGCAGAATAGTTAGCTGGTTTGATCCCTTGTCTATAACATTTACTCGAGATGTTAATTTAGCTTCATCCCTCTAGTCCTTGATATAGAGTCACATTAGAAACACAGATAGACATGGTACAATGTGCAAACCTACGTTGTTCGTGGCTTCAATGATCTCTATCAGGAGACATTTATACTTCGTCGAACGCGGCATGTTCTTCCACAGTTTCGAGATGGTCATTCAAAGCTAATGACAGGATGAGTATAACTAGCTGGGTCTACATGAGCTTTGGCTGGAGCGAATGTAGTATATTGCTTATTTCGACCCGTCCCACACTTTAACTTATAATTTTAACTTTGAAGTTAAGGTTAGTTAGCCTAAACCTTGATAATTAAACGAAAATATGATGTTTATGTGCGAGATCAGTGCCTGTCCATGTGTGCTATCTAGGTTATTGTATGCTGTCAGAGTGAAGTATACAGTGATAAAAACCTAGTGTCCAAAAATCTTTAATGATATGGTTCAAAGAAGATCACCATGTTAATACATTTACGATTTATTTTTGATTCTTGAATATTTTACTATTTTGTACTTATTATTCCCCATTAAGTTGCAATAATTTGCTAGTTAATTGCTTTCTTTTAAAATTACTCTTAATGATCTTTTTATATCGGTAAGAAATGCGACAATTTGAATTAACAAATTATTTCGTGAAATTCTTCGTTAATTGTGTTTTGTTGTCGGATTTTAAAGCACTTATAAGATAGAGAGAACGTTCGAATTTTAGCCGTATTGAATCCATTACTGAAATGTCGGTTTACACTACGTTATTATGGAAATATTGAGATTAGGGTAAATTCGATTGGACTTCTTCAAACTATCAAAACATTTTCGATAGTTACAGAAACACTGTACAAAGCTAAAGGGAAGTTGACCACAAAAAAACTTTCTTATTTTCATAAAACATTTCAATCTACTTGTTGGTTGAATATCAGAAACGTTATTGGATGCAACTAACAGGCTATAGTCAGTTATGTAAATGATGGAAACCAACTTAAGTTGTTCGGAGTCATGTTGACTAGCTCCAATTGTTTTTAAAGTAAACCGTGAAAATTCTGTAATTCTACTTTTTGGAAAAAAGAACGTATTAAATCGCAAACAACATTCCCCGGAATTAACATGAATTTTTATTTTTGTTTGTAATAAATGGTAATGCTGATTACCAAAGTATTAAATAAATCAAAAATAAGTTTATATTCTTTCTTCATGAATTGATTATACTGATAGAACCCTAGTATTGACTGTTATCACACTGCATATTTTTACATTTTTTAAACAGTTTTTATTATCAACTCAAGAACGGTCACTTGCTGCTGGTTCATATGCTGTTGGAAAGCATATCACATTTTTAAGTACTGGGAGAAAAGACGAAGATCAACTAGCTAATATGGTTGTAGCTGAGTTTCTCCGGCAAAACACACCATATATCAGTTTGATTGAAGGTGGTTATACAGCTTTACATGAAGTCTTAGGTACTTATGAAGTTGGTAGGAGTTTAATTGGTCATGAACCTACAATATGTTTAGGATGTATTGGAGGAAAAAACTTTGTACCTTTATCAACTTCTAATAGTAAAATGGAGTCATCATGTTTAATAAATGAAAAAGCAAAAGTACAACCAGTTAACTCTTCGAGTGTTGGTTTATTCTCTAAATTCTCAAATGCAATATTTAATACTGGCCGTAGTTTGGATCAAGTACCAAAACTTTTGAAACTTTCAAGTGTAAGTTCAGTGCCAACAACAACAATCAAAACTGATACAACCCCTACATACCAACCTGTTCAGAATAAAGAAACAAAAAAACCCGTTGCTTACAGAAATACATCATCTGTATTCAGTATTGATGATGACTATGACGAAGATGATCTATGTGATGATGAAGCTGAGACTATTACAAACAGTCCCAATCATACAGAGAAAGAAGCAAGAAATGCGACGTTATCTGAACAGTCAACTTGGTTAAAACGTTTTGTTAAAGCATCTACACATGTTGCACCTGACATGGATGGGGATTTCCCCCCTCGAATTGATGGTATGGACAGCTGTGAAGTTGGCGATTTAATTGATACTACCCGGTGGTCTAGACGGCCAGAAGTAAGAGGTGTATTTAGTACCCGATTTATAAGGCCTAATGGACAATTAGGCGATAGTGGTTTACTTGTTTTAGCAGAACGTCATTTAATTTTGTTGCGTCATCCAACTCCTCGACTTCCTAACCAACTCATCAACTCTCTTAGTTCTACTTTACAGTCTGTTTTTAACAAAAAGAATCCAAAATCATCTGAATATTCGGCTATTCAAAAACCAACTACAGATCTCCCGAAATATGCTGTTGTTTATCGATCAATTCCCTTATCTATGGTAGTGAAAATCACGTCAAATCGTCGTTTCCCGGAATGTATTACATTTCACTATTGTCCACATGACGAAGGCGATATGCTAAAACTAAACGATCAGTCATTATTTAGTATGAAAGATCGATTATATATTAATAAAGCAGGTGAAGCAGTGAAAATGGTAAAAACTGCCATCTTTACTACTGTTGCATCATTGGAAACGTAGTATTACTCATATTACGGTCTTGTTTTATTATTTTCTTTGTACACTATGTGTTTTGCACTGATGATTTTATTTATATTTATTTTTTCTTATGTCATCTGTCAATCAGGAAAGTTGGATTTTGAAAGTAAATTAAAGTTTTTGTTTTTCGTACATTTCTTCTAATTTGAACAATAACTTTTTGTTTTGATTACATAAAACTGTGATGTTTAGGTGAAAAATAGTATCTAGATAAAATTTTTAGCACTATTCTTTCAATCACCAATGCACTTTCTCGTCATATCACTGTAATTATAGTTAACCTTATTCACTCTCTTACCTTCAAGGTTAAAGTCTCATTTTGTTCATATTGAAGTGTTTTTATTTGGGATTATCAAAGGAGCTGTGCATTAATTTTTTTTCGTTTAATTTAACTAATTTTTACAAAACAGATTGTCAACCAGATGAATCTCTCTCTCTCTCTCTCTCTCTCTCTATATATATATATATATATATATATATATATATATATATAATCACTGTTCTGAATTCCTGAACATATGTGGTGAGCCTGTCAGTGCTGCAAAGGTCACACCATACAGATAAACTGGGGGAGTTTCAATGCAATCATCCGTCCAAATCAAAAAAAGGAAGGAAAAATTGAAGCGAGTATATGGGTGATGGTGCCTGTTCTAGGGGAAGTTTCGATAATTTGCCAGTCCACCAAATATTTTCATCGACAGGTTCACTTAATATCAGTCAAAAGTGCACCAGAGATCTCAGGCACTCAACTGTTGGCAAACTCTTCTGCGGTTTTAAAGATACTAAAAATGCACTCATCAGAAAAACTTGTATTGGATCAATCGTTCTCACTTTGGGATTCTCAATAGCTTCCGTAGCATCAATAAGCTGATTCGCTAGTGTACACACTCTTTAGAAACACTAAATCAGTGAAAAGTGGCGAGAGTGAATATTGGAGATGATGACGAACAATGTTTAACAAAAATGATATCATTTGCAATGCAACTTCACGGTTTCCTATCTAACTTCTAACGAAGGGCGCTAATTTCGCACTAAAGAAACTTAGTTTTATGTCTTAGTTGTGTTATGTTCAAGTTGAGTAATCTTCATTACTATACGAATTTAAGTTGTTTGCAAGATGCGTTAGACTTCATCTGACGAAAGGTAGTGTGAAATCGAATACTAGACAACTGTCTTCATGTTCGCCTAGTTCAAATATGTCACATTTGTGCGAGCATATCAAATTTCGTCGGCTAACTCGTTATATCGTATGCACTACGCTTCAAGTCTGCTTGATATGTATGAAGTGTTGCTAGAAATAATGTTCCAGTCGTATATGAAGTATTGTATATTACATTTATATTTTAGGTAAGGGAAAGAGAAAAAAGGCAAAGTTGTTCAACAAATTTCAGAAATATATAAAAACAAATAATTCCACAGATAAGATTTAATCAAAAGACAAATGCCCCATTTCCATTTGACGATTCCATCATCTTAGTAAATGGTTTCTGACTATCTTCACGAACTCGTAAATGTGTTCTAAGTAGGATGTGCTCCAAAACACCAGTTCTGATGTCCATCGTAGTAATCTCTGACTTAAGACGCTGAATAGCTTGTTTAATACGCACTACAGACGAACTGTCTGTCATACTCAAGCCTTTTTCGTCCATCTCTGTTTTGACACGTCCCAGTTCTTCACTGATTTCAGATAAAGTACGACTTCGAGTAGTGATTCCGCCACTTGCTTCTCGATACTTGGCATTTATATCATTTAAGTTATCCTATAATAAAAATACAAGTATAAAAAGATCATACATGTAGCTGTATTAATAGTTTGTGAAATACTGTCTTTGAGTATACACATAAAACACTTGTTTGTAGTACTCACGAAATAAGTTATCTTTAGAATAGTACTTTTCACAATATTAATTGTATGCATATTCCAAGTATTCATTATTAGCCAACAGTATTTACATCTCCCTTTTTAGAACACAGTAATTTTTGTCATGATTTTCATGAGCTTCTAATGATATCACTATTTTGACGTTTCTAATTGGTATCGTATTGTAGTAAACTCATTACGTTTTTTAATTCCTATATGCTGTAATTTAGACAAGTTCACTGTAAAATTATGTTTGGGTCTGATTGAAAGCATGTCTACACCTCAATCTTTATCTATCCTCGTTGGTTGTAAACACAGATAACCGATATCTTTACCTACATATTGATTAGCACAAAATACATAGACATGCTCCGACTTTTCACTTACTTCCCAGTGTGCTTGCCGCTTTCGTGTTTGTAGATTTTACTAATTAATAACAATACACTCACAACAACTGGTGTTTTGGCTTTTGAATATTCTCGAGTAAATTAATAGTGCTGTCAAAATAACTGGTCTGCTAAAATACACAGTTAACAGGATGTATTTCGAAGTCAAATTGGGAGAAATCGACCTCTACAGTATACTATACATTTGAGTTAAAAGTTTACTTACAGGAAATTTCGATTAGCGTACACCTCATACTCACATTCTTCGAAATAATTTATAACACTGAAGTTCCGGCATAATAACTGACAGAAACGTTGGGATTATGAGTATTTCAAAGCTAAGACTTTGTTTTCCATTGTATCAATATTTAAAGCGTAAGAAATACGTTGCGATAGGTCTTAGCGACCTTCAGTCAATGGACAAGGCAATTACTGAGTCTTAGCAGTAACAGTTACAGCAAATCGATCGTAAAGGGTTTTCTCATGCATTCAAGTCACGAAAGTTAGTATGTAAACTATCTTATAAGGTTCAATTACGTAATGCGCTACGATGGATAATTTTAATAAATTACCTCAACGAGAAATGTAGGTTGAGAATGGGACTAAACTTTTGTATCTTCAGTTTTCTTTTAATCCAACATATTCCTAATACTGCTGAGATAAGTGCTTCATATTCTTGAAATTTTTATTGTGAAATTTTAAGATTTATAAAATTCTAACGAGAATTACTCTCAGTTCGTTCACTTATCAACCAGACTTCTACTCAGATAATTGGAATGGTGGCTTAGTATTTTGTCACCCTACTTTCAACTACTGACTCGCTATTTCAAATTAACATATGTTTTTGCATATGAATAAACCAGTATAAGAACCTGTATATGTGTATTGAGTTACGTTAGTTATATTACAGGTATTGGAATCGTATGCACTAAACTCCAGCATATATACGTCGAAGTTTGCATTGGTTTACTATTAGTTTGTGACCAGTTAGCGGAAAAATATCTTTCCGAAATGTAAATTACAGGATTCAGTACGTGTTTTCATAGTCAGCCGTTGTAGGTGACATGGTTCCAGGACTGATTAAAAAAATCAACTGATTGTTTGACTAGGAGGTCTGTTCTCTGTTCCGGTTGAACAACTCAAGGCAATATGAAAAGATCTTGGGAGCCTACCTGTACAGTTCTATATTGCGCCAACAGAGGCTCCACTTGATTATTCATATACTTCTCTCGGTTATTTATTTTATCGACATCTGAATTCAGATCATCGTGTAATCTGATTAATTGGGATTTAGCATCCTGAAAGGTAGTTTCGATTTCCATTATCAGCTGCTTCATTTGATCCAGATGAGTTCTCCAGTCTTTGACATCACTGTGAACATTGACACGTAGTTGTGGTAATATTCGTTCAACTTCAAGTTTCCAATCTGCTGGGTCTGTAGAGCATTCTAAGACTGCACGATTATTCGGTCTTTTCTCATCTATTTTGCCTGCAGGTTTAAGTTCTGTCTGTTTTTCGGTCAAATCTGTTTTATGACTTTGGTTAGGTTTTAAATTAATTCCTATAATTAATAATGAATAATCTTTTAAAGATAACAGATACAATCAACTGATGAGTTGTTATATAACGGAATCTGATTTACCCAGTCTTTATTGTGATCTCAGTACGTGAACTTTATTTGGAGTCCAGTGACATATCTGTCAGGAGATGTTTTACTCCATAGTTCACAGGTTTTAAAAAATATGATTCCATATGAGTACAGTTTTAACATTTTCACTGACAAATTAACTTGTACATAACTATACACCATCACGATTATAATTTTGGTCACAAGTCGATTAATTTTATCCTGAGATCGTCAAGATAAATCTTTGAGAAACGTCTACATAGAAATGTTTATAAATCAAAAATCATGTGGCCTGAACAGTTTATTTCTTATTTTATTGATTTGGATTTCGTATATTATCACTGAAAAGTTAATTCACGTTAATGAAGAAAAGGATGGATATACGATTTGTAAAAAATGTGGTGTAGTCAATGCATGCTTTTGTTTAGGAAAAATGAATGTTGGGAAAGTTCTCAACATTATGAAACCCGTGAAATGCGGTAATACTTCCTACAATATTGTTTTGCCAAATTTCGGACTACACAGTCTTAGTTTGGCCATTACTAAAGAAAAACTTTTAATTTCAAAATGAAGAAACAGTAATTTACCTTTTAAGTCAACCACCTCTTCATCATCGTCATCATCACTTTGTTCCTCACAATTCCCTAGCCTGTCGCAGTCTGACAGACTATATTTGAATCGACTACCGATTGAAGATCCGACCCACTCTTCTGTTTCTTCGTCAGTTTGCGATGATTCACCATCTTGAACACCAGACTCTTCTACTTCATCTTCTGGATATTCAGGTGGTAGGAGTTTAATGTTTTGAACCTGCAGGCTTGCGTCGGCTAACATGTTAAGAACATTAATGCAATATTCACCACATCCACTTTTCAGTTTTAAAGGTGGGAACTCTACAACATATCCTAGAGTTCTGACAGCATCTAAAATAGTTGATATTGTTGCATTCGGATCGTCGTATTCTTGTGGTTGGTCAATTTTACAGTTTGCCTGTGAAATCAGCCACGCAGCTAGGGTAGTGAAACAATGAAATTGTTCACCAGGATTAGTAGGAATTGCAAAATAATGTCTTGTGATAGGTTTTTGATGTCGTCGCCTACCAATGACT